AACCCCTAAAAGGTACCCCTAAATCCTAAACCCCCAAACGGTAACCCTCAGGTTCCAAGTACCCAAGAAGTACCGCACCTAAGACCCTGCCATCTGGGTACTTCTGTTGATGGTATAAATCCTGCATTACCTTAAGGACCCAAAACTATGGGAATTATGGCATATTCCCTATTACCCTTATTGATGCAGGATTTATATCATCAACCGTTAGACCCTCCACGTCAGGCTCCGGCAGTTGCCGCAACGGTGGGAAACACCCTGTTGAAGCAAAAAGTCCGAAAACATAAAGGCATTCCCTAAGGGTCCAAGAAGTCCGTACTTATGTTCTTTGATTCCCAAAACGGGCTTAAAAGTCTTGTGATAGGGAGTACTTGCACCCTCCGGCAATATCCATGATTCATACCGACCTCTTGTTTTGGCCCACCTAGATTTGAGGCGCTGGGGTTTAGGGTTACATTGGGGTGGTGTCCCTGGATCTAAAGAGTCGAACCCTGATCTCCCACCCTAAACTACTAATAGTATGGGTGGTTGTCAAAATTATGGTCCCTTTTGGAGTACCCTAAATGCCGTACTATATTCAGGACCCAAAAAAGGGACCAACATTTTGACAACCACCCAAATGTCACTGTAGCGGACTCCCCCTTAAGAGATCAACTAGCTTATCCAATGGCGCGAGGCTAGATCCGGTGTAGACTTGTGTAGACAAGCTCTGGCGCGGCCGTGACGATTCAGGGTGTGGTTTTTCGGAGGCTTGAATTGGGGGTTTAGGAATAATGGTCGAGGGCGATACGTTAGTTGTCTATGTCGGCAGCCACATAGGTGGTTGTCAAAATTAGGGTCCCTTTTTGGGTACCCTAAATAATAGGTGCCGTATTATAATAGGTACCCAAAGAGGGACCATAATTTTGACAATCACTCACATGGTTTGGCATCCCTTCTCCTTTTGTGCAGGCCAGGGCAGCAACCGAGTTGTTTTTGGTGAGTGGAGGTCTTAAAGAGCCCTTCTTCGGTTTCGGGTCGAGAGATTGGATTTAGGCTTGAGGTGTGTTGGTGTAGGGTTTAGGGTAGGTGGCTTTTCGCAGCGGCAGCGTTCGTGTTTGAAGACTCGCCTTGTGCTTGCCAGCACACACATGGAATGCGCAGTAAGGGTATGCACGACTTGTTCAGCAAAGGCTCTTCAGCAGCTTCCAGCGCTCGTGTGACACTGCTACTGTCCCTAAACCCTGAACCTTATACGTCGAACGCAGCAAGGTTTCTCAGTTTGCATCCCAACTGCGCATCCCATGTTAGACCTCTCTCGCTCATCAATATTGGAACAAAAGCTTCAGCAGGACATGTGGCGATTTCGCCGCTGTGCTATTTGGATCGTAGGATTTGTCTGCGTGACTCTAAACTCTAAAACCCTGTGCCCCTAAACCCGTGAACCGTCAGCCTTTAGAAACAACCCAAGCCCCAGACCCCAAACCCCCAACCAGTGATGAGGTGTTGGGTGTAAACAGTGGGTTCGAAATATCCCAAAGGGTCCTAGTACCTGTATCGTGGCATTAATGAATTTATGATTGGGGTCCCCCATAACCGTAACCAGGACCCTTCGGGTTGAGAGAAGTACCCGCTTGATGTGGGTCTCTCCTCGAGGCACCTCGAAGTTCCTAAGCACCGCTTTTGGGAATGACCCCCACCCTACCTTAACCCTGAAAAACCTACCTTTTTAGGGCTCCTTATTATGATTTCTTTATACAAGTCCTTAGAAGTGAAAGGTAGGTTATTCGGGGTTAAGGTAAGCCCTAAGTCCTGAGTCTCGAAGCCTACAAATCCTAAACCCTATACGTAGTCTCTATTGATTGTAAAACCGAAGCCCTAAACCTTCAATCTTAAGTGCTAAGACCTACAGATTCTAAACGCTATACGATAACCCAGAAAGGGAATTACAATGGAGACTATACTTGACTACAGGTAATCCCGGTCCCTATATAAAAGCCCTCAAGGTAAGTAAAGTGGGGACAATGAAGACCTTACACCTACAGAAGGTCATCATTCGGTTGTTGGTATAAATCCTGCATTACCTTAGAAACCCTAAACCTTGGGGATCCTAAACTATGGGAATTATGGCATGTTCCTTATTATGGGTAATGCAGGATTTATATCATCAACCCTAAACCCTATAGATCCCTTACAGGAGCCCCTTAAAGTACCCTTATAGATCCCTTTAAAGGAACCCCAGGATTTATACTATCAGCATACTTTGGGGGATCCAGCTGGCCCTGAACCCTAAACCCCTTCAGCAGTCGGAAACGAGACCTTAACATAGCACGAAACAAGCCTTTAGCACTGTACCCACGACGGTACAAAGCCTAATATATATATATATATATATATATATATATATATGTATATATATATATAGAGAGAGAGAGAGAGAGAGAGAGACATATATAACATATATATATATACACGCATACAAAGTTGTCTCTGGTATGAGGGCCTGAATCCCCGACACGCCGGGGCTCGAGTGTGGCTTTTGGATGCCCCGCCGGGTTGGCGGCCCGGGCCCAGGAGGTGCGCTCCCCTGAAGGGCCCTTTTAAGGCTTCAGGGTTTTTAGGGGTTTAGGGTTTTAGGGTTTGGGGTTTAGGGGTTTAGGGTTTTAGGGGTTTAGGGTTTAGGGCTCTAAGGGTTTAGGGTTTCGGGGTTTGAGGGTTTAGGGGCCAGGGTTTAGGGTTTAGGATTGTAGGCATTTTGGGATTTCCAGTTTCAGGTTTAGGGTTTGAGTTTGGGATTTCGATGTGTAGAAGGTTTAAGCGGGGGGGGGGCTGGTTATGGTCATGTTGGGGCTTCTTCGGATCTTTATCGGATATTACAGGATTTGTCGACGTTGCTTCTAAGGTTTATTCAAGGGTGTTCTGGATTTACGTGGTTTTTAGCTTGCAAGGCTTGTACATTGTGCGTGTTGTATGGGCTGGTTCGAGAATGTCATATCGGATGTGACTCCTGGTTTTCAGGCTTAGATAATAGGGTCGGGCTTTGAACTCTGGTGTTTACGTTTCGGGACTCTTCGTGGGTGCTTTGTTTTGGCTGTTTGGTGTTAGTAGGAGGTCTTGTTGAGGGCTGCATGGTTTTTCGAGGGGTCCGAAGCGCAAAACCCTACACCCTGACCGTAAGCCAAAGCATAGCTCTTGTTGTGCACTCTCAGTTTTGGCTTCGGCTCTTTCGTTTATGGGTTCGTACCTAGACAAAACACTCTAAAGTTCTAAAGCCTTAAGCCTGAGACCTCGCACATGGATCGCAGAAAGGTTGCACTCGTCAGTTAGTTAATACAGCCCGAACACAAGCATCTGTGTGAGACACAAACTTCGATGCCGACTTGCAGGTTTACGGTCAGCTACAACGCGGTTTACCTAAACCCGAACCCTAGGCCCCAGTGAGCCCTTTTTCCCTTTTTGTAGTCCCAGGTCCCTTATACGCTTACCCAATACCAACAAGGGAGCCCTTTTTATTCCTAGGTTACTGGGCATCCTAGAACCCTAAACCCTTGCCCCAAACCCATTTCCTTCCGTGACAACGGTTTGGGGCTTAGGGCTCGAGCTTGGTGGGTTCGTCGTGTGATGCCTTCGACGGAAGCCTAAAGAGCTTGCTGTTGGAGATCAAAGCCGGATGCTTTACGTGGCTGGATAATGTGAAGCCTACATAATTTTATTCCTCAGGGTTCCAGATTACACTGTGTTAAAAAGGAGCCCAACACATTATTCTAATTATTAAAGCCCTTACATTACCTGCTAAATATTGGATCGGAGCTGCCAGTTCTCACAGTCACATCCGTTCCAGGTTCCCGAAATGTGCTGACTTCTCTGCGAGGATGAAGTTTGCTGCTGAGCCCGAAAGGTCCTAAGTACCTGTCTAGTCGAATGTAGGGTTTCTATAGTAGGGTTTGGTGCAATGTTTTGGGGATATCAGTACCTAGGAGCCGTTGGGGAGATGCACGCAGATGTCCTGGAGGCTCAGACGCACCACCTGCATAACGTGCGAAACTTGCAGAGGCAGGTCAACGGACTTCAGCAGAACGTCATGCAGCACCTTACCTTTGGTTAGGAGGGAATGGAGGAATGGGGCACAATTATAACTACTATTACTACCATTCTTCCATTCCTTACTAACCAAAGGTAAGGCACAGGCAGATCCAGGGAAGTCCGAGCAAAGCACGAGCCCCGGGTCCGGCATGTCACAGTCCCGGGGGCCGGAGTGCTGAACGTGGACCTGGGCTTCTGCGGCCAATCCAAGTTTCGTATTCCTGCGAACTGCTCTTTCCCATCTCTGCCCGCAAATCAGGCTTGGTTGACTTCTTGGATGGGACGTGCTTGCACTTATTTGGCTTTGGCTCTATGTGATTGTCCCTCTGTTTGAGTCTGTCTCTGCTGTGTTCCGCCTTTGTCCTCGCATGATCTGAAGTAAACCCCAAACTTCTAAAACCCTGAAGCCTGACTAAATCCCAAACCGTAAAGCCTGAACGCTAAGCCCTAATTGAGCCCACGACTCCTCATGATAGAACCCATATAGACCCTTGAGTGGAAGCTTTACTGCAGCGTGTTGCCAACATTTTGGTAGAAACCATATGGGTAGTTGTCAAAATTATGGCCCCTTTTTGGGTACCCTAAATAATAGGTGCCGTATTATAATAGGGACCCAAAAAGGGACCATGATTTTGACAACCACCCATATGGACCCCTTAAAGGAAGCCTTCAAGGAGCCCCTAAAGCCGTAAATCCTAATCCCCAAAACCCTAAAGCCCTAAACTTTGAACTCCAACAGCCTCAAGCCTTCATTCCTATCGTACCCCTGTAGATCCCGGTACAGGAACCCTAATGTAGGGGCCTTGATAATTGGAATAGGGCTTTGGGAGTATATTGTACTATAAGTATAACGAGGAACCCCCAAAAACCTAATTATAAAACACTAAACCCTATAGTACCCATATAGTTAGCTCCCTTAATCTCTCACAGGCTCCCCCATGGGACCTTCGGCGCCGGAGCTGCCAACTTTGGAGGAAGTGGCAGAGACCCTGCGCCTCGTCTGTCTCAACGGATGTTCGGATGAAGAACTTTTGGTAGTACTATAGGGGCCTCAATAATCAGAATAGGGTTTTGGGGGTGATTCGGACTTGAAGAATGAGGCATTGGGGGCATATTCTACTGTATAACTATAATAAGGAGCCCCCAAAATAGTATTGGTAGAAATTGGGTCCCTATCGTAGAAGGTCCCAAATTGGGGATTCTGCTTTCTGGATCCTTCCCGGGGGCTGGACAAGGGTCCAAGTCTAGAATCAAACAGTGGGTATAGGGTTTATGGAACCCTAACCCGAGGGCTCAAAATGGGCCAAAAAGATTACAGTATGGCTGTTTTCGGACTCAAGACTGCAAGGGTCAAAGGAATGAAACAGTAGGTTACGTTTTACGGTTTTAGGCTCTATAGGTACCAAAAACCCATCAGAGTATGGATTTTGGTCCTAACAGATGCTACTATTTGGGCACTTGGACCCTTACAGGAATTTCGGGAATTACTTCCAGGGTTCCCTTTGCGGGTGCTACTTTTGAGGCTACTAGGGAGACATGCGCGTGCCAGTTGCAACGGACATGATATCTTAGGGCAGCAGCTTCCATGCTAAGCCTGCGAATAAGGATCGCGAGAATGCTTGCGATCCTGAAAGCAGCGCAGAAGCAAACCCCAAGACCCTAATTAAACCCTACCTTCACCCGGAATAACCTACCTTTTTAAAGACTTATATAAGGAAATCATAATAAGGAACCCCTAAAAAGGTAGGTTATTCAGGGTTAAGGTAATCAACCCTGAACCCCTAAACCCCTAAACCCTAAACCTCTAAACCCCTAAACCCTAATCCCTAGGGTTCTTCAGGGTTAAGGTAAACCTCAAAAGCAAGCGGAAGAGGAAGTCGATCAGTGGATGCAGGAAAGTCCAAGGCTCCTGGGCTCCTCCAGAGTGCTAGCGGTTGATGATATGCCCTAAGGCTCCATGTGCCCATATAGTATATACTTAGGCCTCAAAGTACCTATATAGGGACCCCTTTAAGACCTACTAAGTATCTACTACAAAGGTACTTGGAGCCTTTGGGATAAATCCGGCATTACCTTAAGGACCCTAGACTGTGGGAATTATGGTATTTTCCTTATTGCTGGCTATGCAGGATGTATATCATCAACAGTAGTAACAGTGATGGCCCTGCTCCTTATTATTGGTTAGTAGGGAATGAAGGAATGGGGTAATATAAGAACTACCACTACTACTATTCTTCCGTTTCCTACTAACCAAAGGTAAGGCTCATGGGGTGATTAGTGTTTAGGGTTGTTAGGGTTTGAGGTTTGGGGTTTAGGTTTAGGCTTGCCAGCCCCAATCCTACGCCGCCCCTCAAGCTTAAATCCTACACGCCATAGCCCTGAGTGCAAGCTCTCAACCGCAAGGCAAATCCACGCTGCTCAGTTGTCCCAGTGCGTTGCCGCCCGCTCTGGCGAAGACGCAGCGCTGGAGCAAGAGCGCCTCCTCCAAACCCTGGCGATTACTATCCAGCGTGAGAACGCTCGGGCGGTTTTGCGCCGAGTGGCTGGTCCAGGTTCCCTGCATGAGCTTCCCACATGCGAAGCTGTGCCCGAAGGGATCTGCTGCATTGAGCCTTGTACAACATGGTGTTTTGCGGCCCATGTAAAGCACACAGGGCACTGCCGCGAGACTGCAGTTGACCATCGCCCAGGTCAGACCGTTGTATGGAGAGCTGTGTGCTCGTTTTGTGGAGTGCGAGAGTTGGGTCGTGGTGGGCGCCGACACACGGGTTGACGTTTAGAGCGATCACGAATCACGACTTGGAAAGGCTGCGCTCCTTTGAGGCCCACATGACCGGAATCATGCACATGGCATTGAATCCACGCTGCAAACTTGAATGGCAGTCTCGTGCAGTCTCTTAAATCGTACATGCGTAGTCGGTAGCATGAAAACCTGGTAAAATTCTGTTGAAAATCTGGTCAATTACCTTTATATATTAATGTGAAGCCCTTACGTTTGCAAATTTCCTCTTAGAAACGTAAAGCCGTTAAAGCCTAAATCATGAAGCCCCTAGCTGAATCCTTCACCCCTACGTAAGCCCTACGTAAGCCCTAAGCCCTTGTAAGGGTAGCTAGATCCCCCAACTATTATACCCCAAATACCCTCTATGATCATAAGGGCTTTCTTTAAGCAGACGTGGGGGGTCCCAAAAAATCATAAACCCTTGGATCTAAATGCCTAAGCTGAAACTCTGACCTTGAGGGTCCATGTACTCGAAAAGTAAGTACATCGGCCTTACAGTATTCCCTATATAGGTACTGTACGGCCATGGAGCCCTAGGGCTAGCCCTTAGACAGGGCCGCACCTATTATTTAGGGTACCCCAAAAGCGACCATAGTTTTGAAAATCACCCCTGTAGATACTCAGCAACCTTCGGGGCTCCACATGGAGCCCCTAGGGTAAGCTATATACTCCCTATCTATATAGTATCCATCCTTGTAGGACTTAAGCCATGTCGGACTCTAAGCCCTTGCGAGGCCCTTGGGTTTACTGTGGATGCCAGAAAGTTGGAACATGGATTTAGGATGATTAGTGCTAGGATCCCTCATAGCTTATACTAGAGGCATGAGGATATTCATGTTCCAACTTTCTGGCTTCTACTGTAGGAGTTTAGGGCTTAAGGTTTAGGGTTTAAAGGGCTCTATAGCTGATCTACAAGAGTTCCTTTTTTCGGAATCTATAAGGCCCTTGAGTTTACATCCCGAACCCCAGGCGCCAGCTCCATGCGGAGCACGAGAAGCAGCTGCAGGAACTCCGGGCCCAGGTCTGACGTTGTGCGTGTTCACTCCCTTCCTTTAAAGGGATCTATAAGGTTTCTTTAAGAGTTCCTTTAAAGGATCTATAAGGGTTCTAGAAGGGGGTTAGGGTTACTTAAAGGGTCATGGGACTTAGTAACTAGAGTTAGGATTAGGGTAACTACACTTATAGTTACTTATAGCCCCAATTAGGGTACTTATAACCTTACTTACTTAGTCCCATGATCCTCCAAGTAGTAGGTAAAGGGCTAAGGGTCGCTTTAAGGGATCTATAACCCAAAGACTACCGAGAGAGCCCAGTACCCCTTAATTAAGGAATATAGCTTAGATCATACTATGAAGCCCTATATAATTTAAGCCATATTCCTTAATTAAGGGCTATTGGGCTCTCTGGGTACCTAGTAGGTAAAGGGCTAAGCGTCCCTTTGAGGCATCTATCACCCAAAGGGTCCTGGGCACTGTTGTGGGGGATACTTCCCCAAACCATAATAGTAGTTCCTTTTATAGAAACCCTACCTTAGGACCCCCTTGGGTATATAGGGGTACTATGGTCCCTTGAAGGCGTCTAGAAGGGTACTATAGGGGTTTAGGGCTTCGGGTACTTGGAGGTTCATGGGACTTACTAGCTCAAGGAGTTCCTTGAAGGGGTCTATAAGGGTTCTAGGCGGTTCATGGGACTCAGTAGGCAAGGGGCTAAGGGCCCCTTCAAGGGGTCTGTAGGGGGGCTATCGGTGTTTGTTTCTGGTGAGGGGTACTTGGAGGTTCGTGAGACTTCGTAGGGACAGTCATCCGTGTTCTATTGTGGCCGCTGTGTTACAGAATCCTACCGGGGACCGCCTTCTACTTGTCAAGTGAGCTTGTACGTGTCCTACGGTTGATAGTATAAATCCTGCATTACCCATAGAAAGGAATTCACCAGAATTCCCATAGGTTAGGGTCTTTAAAGTAATGCAGGATTATATTATCGACCGTACGGCAGTTTTCGGGTTTAGGAGTTTAGGATTTGGAGGCGAGCCTGAGCCCCACACATGACATGGGCTAGGATGTATAGGAGTTAGGATCAGAGCTTGGGATTTTGAAGGACTGGGGTTTAGGGGTTCGTGTTGGGGTATGGGCGTAGGATGTATATGAGTCAGGATTAGAGATTGAAAATGATGGTTTCTAGGATTAGGGTGAGGGGCACGGCGAGTTCTAAGCCCAAAGCTCGAATCGTTCCGCAGAGGGGGGGAATGGTTGGGAAGGGATGACCATCAGGGACCTGGGAGATGATAGTTTAGGGTTTAGGGTTCAGGGTTTAAGGTTTACCCCAAAGCCTTACTTCATTCCGTGGGTATGAAGGTTTCTCTAGCATGCACCCTTACGGTGTCCTCGTCGAAAGAGCTTTGATTTCGAGAGCCCATCAAGGAGCCCTGTAAAGTATAAACAAGCAGTTTAATTCAGCGCTCATTGTTGGAAAGTGCAGAGTCCCCAGGGACTCCAATATCACTTAATTAAGGAATATTCCTTAAATCATATCAGGGATCCTAGTATGTTTTAAGGCAAATTCCTTAATTAAGGGATATTGGAGTCTCTGGGTGCCCTGCAGGTTTCATTGCTTCAGTCGCCAACGGAGGCGTCTGGGAAGAGGGAGGATCCGGATTTGGTTCTTTTAGGGGCTTAGGGTTCAGGGGCCTAGAGGATCCCTGTAAAGGAGCCTATAAGGGGTCTAGAAGGTATCTTCAAGAGGATTCTGGTTTGAGGTTCTTAGATGTTTTTAGGATTCATATCCCAGACCTCCGGGAGGATTCAATAAGCAGATCCCTGAAGAGCGGTTCCTTAATTTCCTTAAAGTGATCTATCTATAAGGCTTTAAGGTTAGTTTATAGAGGTTAGTTAACGTTTATAGTGGGCCATAGGGTTTATTGGGCTTTGGGACTAGATCCATGAAGGGGTTCCTTCAAAGCACCCTTCAGTTCTTTTACCCACATTCGTTGTAAGCCACACGAGCCTCCGAACGTCAGCGACACAGTTCCCAAATTCGGGGATCTACTTTTGTTGATCCTCCCGAAGCCCTCTCATCCCCAATAAACGGGAGTTTCCAAAAATAGGGGTACCTTCTTTGGAGTCCTTATAACTAGGATCCTACTATTTAAGGTACTATATTCGGGTCTCCTATTGTCGGAAACCCCCAAACCGAAAACCCTAGACTTTAGGTTCCCCAACCTACTTTTAAGTTCATGGGACTTAGCAACTAGGGTTATAAATAAGGTATTACGAGTAACACCAACTAAGGTACTTATAAGTGTACTTATTAAATCGCATGAACCTCCAAGTAGGGAAGTTACTTTTTGGATTCTTTTGTGGAAGCCCCTAAACCCTAAAGCCTGTACCTTACATCCTAAACCCCATAATACCAAACCCTATAAGTCTAGAATTTCTGAAAAGCCCCGATCGATTTCTTTCAGGAGCCCCTTTCGGTCAAACCCTAAAACTCAGCCCTGAAACCCTAAACCCCAACCCCCAACCAAACCCCTACAGCACGCCCTGAAGCCCCAAAACCTAAACCCCTTAAATCCTAAACCTCGAAACCCTAAACCCTAAACCCTAAACCCTTAAACCCTGAAGCCCTACACCCTCAAACCCAAAACCCCAACCCCGAGCTCCCTAGATTCGGTGAATTTGCTTCTAGCTCCCAATATCCCTTAATTAAGGAATGTACCTTAAATTATAGGGGTCTTCATATTCTGGTTTGAGGTATATTCCTTAGTTAAGGGATATCTTTGGGGGGCGCCGGGCCATTGGCCTGGTCCGCAAGCCGTTGGACGCCCTACAACACCAAGGAAGCGTACCCCTGGGACAAAGCCGTCCCTGGAGGAACCAGTTGGAGGTAGGGCTCCTGCGCATCGTTTGCGGTGAGGTTGGAAATGCTGTGCAAGAACTCATGATTGCCATCCTGCTCGACCTCCAAACCTTTTACGACAAAATCAACCACGGCCTCCTCGAGCAGCGCATCCTTGCCTCTGGCTTCCCCGCCAGGGTTGCCCGTCTGGTGGTTCAGGCTTACCAAGGGCGGCGCTCCCTGGTCGCTGAAGACCAACTCTCTCAAGGCACTTCCCCTCGCACTGGCATCCTGGCGGGTTGCCCCTTTGCCACCATGATCGCCCGTGTCTATTTAGGCCCCATCCTTGTTAAGGTCCATGCCCTAAAGGGTGTGACGAATGTAGACTCCTGGGTTGACGACATTGGAGCGGACTGCCGCTGAGGTTTCGATGGCACGAGTGGGCAGAGAGCTATCAGCACTGCCCTAACCCTGGGCATCAAAATAGCTCCAGAGCCTTATATAGCATGGTCTTTAGGCCCAGAAGCCTTAATATGTGAGTCCTTAGATTCCTAGGGCAAACCCTATAAACCCTTAATCCCAAATCCCTTAATCCCTAAACCCTATAGTCCCTAAACCCTAAGCCCCAAACCCAAAGCCCTAAACCCAAAGCCCGAAGCCCAAAATCCTCTGATGCTGCGTTCCCAAAGGAAGCCTAAGGAAGTGTGCCGGAGCACCATGCCATTTTCGATTTTGAAATCGAAGCAGACCCTAAACCCTAAAATAAACCACAATCCGTAAACCCTAATTTAAAGCCTCATCCCTAAAGCGTAAACTAAACCCTAATCCCTAACCCTGAAATCTAAACCTCTATTTCTATAATGCCAAGGTATGCATTGGACATCTAGATAAATTCCTGGAGCCTCACCATAATCCCCTTGATCCCTAAACCCTCAAAGCCAAACCCTCAATTCGCAAGACCTTCTGGTACTACTGAGGGGGCGGGGGGCCGAGGGACGTAGTAAGTAATTAGCCATTTTGTAGACTTACAAGTTACAAGTATCATATCACCAGTTCGGGTCCTGTTTAGGGTACATATGGCTCTATGAATAACTACTTGTCAAGGCCCCGACCCTCCAAGTAGACTTGCACTAACCCTAAAAACGAGCCCCAATTAGAGTTATGATTTTTGTAAGTCTCTAAAGTAGCTCCTCACCAAGCCCCCCGATCCTCCAAGTACAGGGGTGACTCGAGAGCAGGCCACCTCCACAACCGTCGGCGCAAAGAGCGATCAGGTGCGGGCACCAAGTCGGGTTTTGGGTTTTAGGGGTTTAGGGCTCTAAGGGTTTAGGGGTTTAGGGGTTGGGGGTTTTGGGGGTTTAGGGTATAGGGGTTTTGGGTGTAGGGTCCGAGTTGTTGATGGTTTAGGCAGTGTTTACGCGCCTCAAAGAATTCAAGGAGTACCAGCTGTTTCGTTTTTTCGGGTTGTAGTTGCAAATATGGGTGGTTGTCAAAATTAGGGTCCCTTTGTGCTTCCCAAATATAATACGGCACCTAATATCTAGGGGTACCCCAATAGGGGACCATAAGTTTGAGAACTACCCATATGGATCCGCCGTTTCGTGCGAACCTCTCGAAGAGCAAATGCAGCCATGAGAGTTCAAGCACAAGCTTGTCGTTTCCGGGTTTACTTCGGGGTTTGGGTTCTGAGCTGCAGTATTCTAGGGTTTAGGGTTTAGGGTTTAGGGTATTCAGAACAGCATCAAAAACGGGCAAGCAAACACACAAGTACACAATCAACAGCAACCAGCACCAGCACAGACTCCACCACCTTCGCCACCGCCGTCACCAGCACCAGCACCGCTGCATGCTTTAGCTTTACACTCTGGAGCTACGTTTTGGGTTAAGGGGTGAAGGGGTTTCAGGGTTCAGGGTGGGGACTTCAGATGCTTCAAGTTTTAAGCGGGTCAAAGGGTTGAGGATTTACACTGATTGGGCCTTGCTTGTGCCTCTGTAATTGGCATTTCCTTGACTTTGGTTCGGAGCTCAAGTTCTGCGTCTGAGCTTGGCGCAGAACCCTATTCCGGAACCCTGACCCGAATCTCATGCTTCAATGCTTGGGCTTTGTCCTCGGAACCTACAGGAAAGACCGACAACATTGTTCTGGTTCTTGACTTCAGCAATGCTCCTGTGGGACAGAGCTCTCTGAAACCCCAAGACGGAAACCCGCAGCTTTGGACCCCAGGTGTCAGCTTTCTAGATCCCAAACCCTACAACCCTAAACCCCTGAACCCCAGATCCCAAACCCCTAAACCCTAAATCCTAAGCCTAGGTTTAAGGTCTCTTCTGACCCTATAACTTAAAAGCCCGGAAGCCCAGACGGAGCACGGTGGCTTCAGTGGCCAGGCTCTTCCTGGTCTGTTCTGGGTTGATGGGTTTAAGTTGGGTACTGCCCCCACTCAGTAACAGTTGGATAATATTCATAATATAGATATAATTAGGACCTTAATAGTGTAGACTGTTACTGCACGGTGGCAGGCAGTACCCAAGATTTGGGGTTTCCAGGCTCTTCCTCGTTTCTATAATACAGGGGCCTCAATAATTACCAATACTTTTTTGGGGGGTTCCTTATTATGAATATAGAATAATGGGCCCCAAAACCCTATTCTACTTAGTAAATCTCCCCTATTATTATTTTTGGCGTGTTTGGTTTCAACAGGGTTTGATCAGCAGGTGTACATGTATTCTTGTAGGGGTCAAGGATTGCTTGACTCTTCCGAGGATAGTTGTTAATTGTCAGTGTTCTCACATTTATTATTGAGCTTCCGGTCCTTTTATCAATGGCTGTCCACAAAACATGTTGCTGCATACTTTCACCTTCGGGGTGGGACCATATTGCTTGTCCGGTTTTAAAGGTTAGATTTTCCGCACCTGACGATATAATTTCTTGCATTATCCAACTCACGATGTGCATCGGTGTCCCATATTTGACGTCCGAAACGACAAGTTAAGGGAGGAAGAACGTTCTTGGATGAACTGTTGAACTGCATCGTTTGAGGAACTGTGGTGTCTCGCATCTGCGGGCATGGGGCTCACCACCCTACAGGCCAAATTCCAAACCCTAAACCAACCTTCAAGCGAAAATCAGAGCGTAGAGTTGTGCTGTTGAGAGCACGTTGCAAGCTATCCTTCGACAACACGTGGCAGCACCGACGTCATCTGATTGCTCCGCTGACCTAGTGTGACTAGGCACTATAGCTTAAAGCCACAGAAACCCAGAGGGTCTCAAGTCGATACGTCGTAGAAAGTAGGGTTTCTGTATCAAGATGTTTTTGTTATTTTTGTTTATGGTTTGGGTAGGTATCCCGCATATAGGTACTTGGGACCCATCGGACTGAAGGAGTCCAGGATGTCGACTTGTCGTCATACCTAAAGGGTCATGGGACTTACTAACGAGGGTTATAACGAAGGTCACTTTACTTATACTTACTTATAAACCCAATTGGGTGCTTTCAAGCTTACTTACGAAGTCCCATCACCCTCCAAGTAGACCCTAAACCCTAAACCCTATAGACCCCTTTAAGCAGAACCCTTTAAGGATTAAATACTAAGTCCCATGATTCTCCAAGCACAAATCCCAGCCCGCGACTAGCTATCTTCCGGGCAAGGGTCCATGTGCCTGAATCTGGGTACTGCAAAACTGTTGTGCTTGATTTGGTGTTCAACCCGTGGATCATCTTAAGGGGATCCTACCCTAAAACCGCACACCCGAAACCTAATCTAGAAGCCTAGGCAACTATAGCAGCGCTATTCCATAGGGCTTTTTCCCTACTAGAATTGCTAGGCTGCAATCTAACCCGAAACCATCCAAACCCGATTCTAGTTTTCACTGCCGCTAGGTAAATCGTACAGATCCCGAGCCCAAAGCACTATATCAGCGAAAATCTATGTTCGAGACGACTCTATTTTGCTGGTCGCAGGCGACGGTCGTGCTGGATGATGACGACGACGAGAGCTTGTGCGAAGTTCAGGACCTGGTGCCCTGTGTTTTGAGGTTCTAGAGGGGTTTTGGGTTGATGAGTGTTGTGTGTTCAGGTTTATAGAGTGTTTACCTACACAATCTAACCCTTAGAACCCCTAACCTGGAACCCTGAACTGCACTGAAACTTTAAACCCTAAACCCAGAGCCAGATGGGAGTTTCCGACAAAAACTAGGCGTACTTTGTTTGGGGCCCTGACAATAAGGATCCTACTATTTAGGGTTCTCTATGAGGGTCCCCTATTTTTGGAAACTCCCATATCAGCCTCTGGGCCTCAGGGTGGGTGTTTTTCCGTGTTTCATATGAATGGTTGTCAAAATTATGGTCCGTCCCCACTATAATACTACCAATTTAGGGTACCCAAAACAAAGGACCCTAATTTTGACAACTGCCCGTAGATATAGGTGCCTGAATGATTACCTATACTATTTTCGGTGTTCCTTGTTTTTTAGTTGTTTATATTATACCCCAAAGCCCTCTTTCAATTGTTCAGGCCCCAACGGTTTGGATGTCTCTGGGGTTCTGGGATTAGGGCCCATTGGGTTCAGAGTGACTATAGGGTCTAGTGCCTCTAGGTTGGGTACGGCCCCCACTCAGTAACAGTTGGATAATATGCATCGTATAGATATATGAGGGCTTGGTCAATTGTCAATACAATTCCCCAAAAGGTCCTAGGTACTGTTATGGGGGTACTTCCCAAAATCATAATAATCACTCCTAATATGGAAAACCCTACATGCTACCATAGCTATGTTGGACCCTTGGGAGAAGCTTGGTCAATTGTCCATACAGTTCCTGAGAGGGTTACTTATTACTCGTTTCGGCTCCACCTGCGCTGAGCCAGAGCGTCCCAGCTGTGTGTGACATTGTCATACCGTTCGTTTGTACCCCAAACCTTCATCTGCTTGTTCTGGGCCCCCAGGGTCCAAGTACACAATAATCATACACTCCCCTAAGTCCTATCCGACATAACTATTATCCTAAAGCCGAGTACCTAATCATTGGGTGTTCTGGCTCCTTTGTTATATGCCACCACTCTGGAATTAGGTCCCAAAGACCATCCTTATTATGCTTCTGGGGGCTTAATTCCATAGTAGTAATATAGCAGTAATATATGTGTATATATATATATATATATATATATATGCATATATGCTCTCGGGTCCCGGGCCGCCCCCCCCCCCCCCCCCATGGTATCCCCCACCACCCCCCCTGCTGCCCTGCTGCTGCACGCCCACCCGCCCCTGCCCGCCCGCACCTTGCCCGCCCCTTGACCTTGTGCGCGGATCGGGAGTGTCGCACTATGCCCTGCCGGTGTGCGGAAAGCGGCAATCGGCGCAGTAGTTTCCAGCATCTGACATGACTTGCAAGGCTGAATTATGAGGGTTGTATGGCGATGGTGATGGTGGCAGATATTCTTTTCAAGGTATTAAGGATGAAGATGACGACGACAATGATGATGTTGAGCATGGTCTGATTGTCGACTCATGTCCCGGTCTAGAGCAGCACAACATCATGAGCAGTATCACCGGTGCCACAGCAAGAGGGAAGACAAGGAGTAAAACATAAGAACGTCGCGGCAAAAAAGTAGCACCACAGGCCCCACACCACAGGGGGGTGGGGGGGGAAGGGGGGAGGATACCATGGGGTGGGGGGGGGAGGGGGGGTGTGGCAGCCCTGCATCATATATTTTTTGTATATATATATATATATATATACACACACACGCATGTGGGAGTTTCCGAAAATTAGGGGTACCTTATTCTGGGGTCCCCATGATGAGGATCCTACTATATAGGGTGCTATATCCGGGTCCCCCATTTTCGGACGCTGCCAATGGGGACCCTTTGGGTTTTGAGGCTCTAGCATCCCCAGGAGCCCGGCGGGGATGCAGCCAAGCGGTGTCCTGAGGAGGGTTTGGGGCCTTCGAGGGCTGACTTGTGGTTTATGGTTTAAGATTTAGGGTTTAGGATTTAGGGCTTAGGGTTTGGGGTTTAGGATTTAGCGGATTGGGGTATAGGATTTAGGGTTAAGGATTTGGGTTTGGGGTTTAGGATTTAGGATTTATTTAAGGTTTAGGGTTTAGGATCACGAGATTTGCTGTCACTATGTTGATGATCCCAGCCCAGCTAGAATACACACAATTGTGCATGTGTATGCATATGCGAGGGAGATGATCGACTCAGCTTTCAAGTGGGCTGCAACCCTTGGCCTCACGCGCATCAACCCCGTGCACGGCGAAGAGGAAGCAGGTCTCGTGCTCAACGAGACGTTCCAACTCTGTGATGAAACGGGGCAGACCATGGAGTTCACCGGCAACATGGAAGTGGAGGACTAGCTTTCGTGCTGATCGTAACATTGCCTGTGCATCTAGAAAATCGCATGGTGAGAACATGTACTCATACAGGATGACACAGGCTTTCTGATGACTCCAGACACCCCGGGCATCAACTCCTCAGCCGAGCATTTGTTGCAAAACCTGGGAACCGGAGCCGCCTCAGCTTCCAGTGGCACAGCAGTCGTCACGAGCCGGGCTTAGGGTTTAGGATTTAGGGTTCAGGGTTGAGGGTCTAGGGTCATATCTTAGGGTTTATAGGATTTGGGGTCGAAGGTTAGTTCGGGGCTTCATCTGGGGTTATCCACGTTTCACTTTGTTTGTGATGCTTGCCGAAGCAGGAACAAGGTTGAGTGCCTTCGATTCAGTATGACCTTGTCTGGACCTACTAATACCAACGTGACGACCTCGACTGAGTCCGTAGGACAACAGCAACAACATAGACTAGAGTCCATCGTCCAAGCCGCGAAGAACTTGAATCTTGCAAAGCGAGGCCTCAGACAAGTGTAATGCATTTCTTTTCACGACTCTCCCATACAATATGATTTGCAGTCCGAACTTTGTAGCATCCGGCAGGAACTTCATAAGGCATTGTAGCATTCAATCATTTTGGGTTTGAGACTGAGTGTATCGGGTCTCGCAACTTTGGAACGGGTATGTGCAGATTTGTTTGGCATGATATGCATATGTATTTATGTGTATATATATATATATATATATGTGTATGTATATATATATATATATATATATATATATATATATATATATATTATACACATACACACAGAATCGCTTGGGTCCGAGAGAGGCTAGATACCGCATTCTGAGGCTTCCCGGAATGCCAGACTCTCCAAAAGCAGAGACGGCAGAGGCATCAGCTTGTAAGTTTGGATCATAGGTTACTGGGTCACGAATCATTGAAACCCTTCACCCTAAGCCGTCCTTCAATCTCCAGATTCCCGGGGCCTCCAAAATCCGATCTGTTCTTGTCTGCCTGGTTGCGGAGTTCAGGGGTTCAGGGTTCACGGGTTCATGATACAGTGTTTCCGGTTTCGCAGTGCTGGGTTGATGGTTTGCAAGGTTTTGAGCGCCTAGCGTCAAGCCCTAAACTACACCCTAAACTACCTTGTGACAATTTCGTCTTGGTGTTTGCATGTGGCATGCGGTCATTACACTGCTGCCGTCAGATCTATGAAGATGGTGATGAGGAAGAGGATGATGATAGGGTGTAGGGTTTGGGGCTGATGTTGCTGAGGAAGATGATCGCCCTACTACATTGTGACGCCGCAGTGTTGGGAACACATGACGGCTTAAACCTGAAAGCCCTAAAGACACCCTAAGCATCTCAGCCTCAGCTTTCTGGATTCCGGACCACCTGAGTTCTCGACCTTAAGTGGGATGAGCTGGTGTAATTATCGGCAGTGGGTCGCCCTTGTCGAGTGGAGCTGGTGGTCCTTCCTTCTGAAATCCTGGATTAAAATTTACAATCTAGGATTTGGATTTCAGGAGCCGAGCATCAAACCTCCCATAAACTAACAGCGTAGTATAGACTTATTAGAGGCGGGTATGCCCATAAATCGCAGTTTAACTATATAATTAAAGCTGCACGGAATAGTTAATTAAGATTAAAAGTAGATAAAAATTAAACATCTTGTTAACATCCTAGTTAAGATGCAAAACGCTGCTTCCGGGAAGCCAGTTTGCCGCCGAACTGGCTTCTTCCAAGCCACTTTCGAAGCTAGTTTGTCGCCAAACCGACCTCTGCCAAGCCTCTTTCGAAGCCAGTTAGGACTTTTTAATTATTTTGTAACCCTCACGGAATTTAACTATATAGTTTATTTTTAAATGTAACTAGTCTTGCGAAGTAGTTTAAAACTAACTATAAGCAGTGTGTTTACCCTATTGGAGCTCTGGGTATGGCCTCAGCCCTAACAATGGCATGTCAGCCGCGAACCTAAGCCCAAACGGTAAGCCCGCAACACTAAATTCAGAGCCCCTCTTCTTACAACCTAGCCCAGCCGCAGTGCTGTGACTTGTTGAGCCACGAACAGCACCCAACAACCCTTCATTGAGCCTCAAGTCCAAAGCAGCCACCATTAGTAAGGGCAAAAAGGCCTCCAATCTCTGATCCCAAAGCCTCAATCCAGTGATCTTAACTCCCGGAACCGTAAAACCCCAAATTCTGTCCAACAAAAACTCAAAGCCGCAATCCCTAAACCCTGAAGCCTAAACTTAAGCACAGGGCCTTAAACCGGCCCTAAACCCAAAACCCTAAACCCTTAACCCTAAACCCTAAGCCCTAAACCCAAAACCTGGATGCTCTTGAAGGCCTCCTCCGAGAGAAGGGAGAGCTCCCACTCGGGGTTCACGTCCTCGCTGCTCGGCGGGTTTTAGGGTTTTGTGGGTTTTAAGGTTTTAAGGTTCAGGCTTTAGGGTTTAGGTTTTCGGGTTTTAGGGTTTAAGCTTTAGGCTTTAGGGCTTAGGCTTTAGGGTTTAGGCTTGAGGGTCGGTCGGAACCGGAACGATCCTTATGGTCCCCTTCGAAGGAACCCTGAAATGAACCTCTTGAGGACTTAAGGGTACCCCATATCCGGGGCTTATAGCGGCTATGTTGGCAACCCTTCGTGCTCTTTGGAAATTGTCTCTGGTTCGGTATTGCGTTATAGCTAAAGGACTGACTCCAAGGGATTATTCAAAACGCATCATTGTCATTTTGGTTCCAAGAGCGCACACGGCTCTAGCAGAATGAAGTAGTTATGGGGTACAGGTAGCCTTTAAGGTTAAATTTGGTGACGATTTTGGTCCTAGGGTTTGGAGATTGCGCGTTTGCGAGCTCTTGCTTTCAGGTTCAGGGGTAAAGAAGACAGCTTCAAAGGAATCTACAGAACTTGTTGCCTGCAACCCTGAACCCCTAAGCCCTAAACCCACCGGAGTTTCTAGGATTTGAGCCCAAAACCCTAAACCCAAAGCCCTAAACCCACGGGGTTTTCTAGGATCTTAAGGCCCGCAAAACAAGACAAGGAGTCCCTGCGCCCCACACCCCGAGCCCAGGCCCAGACCGGCATGATACTAGTAATACTGCTGATGGACAAAATCCTGCATTACCCATTATAAGGAATATACCATAGTTCCCATAGCTTAGAGTCCTTAGAGTCATGCATTATTTTGTCCATCAACAGTACTACGTAGCTAAGGCTTAGTCCTTTCTTGCTTTAGGGCTTACGGTTTCGGGCTGCCGAGGTTAGTGTTTAGCTGCTTACAGTAGAAGCCGGAAAGTTGGAATATTATTATCGTAGCCCCTTTAAGGTAAATTATAGGGGATCCTACCATTAATCATATTCCAACTTTCTGGAGTTCCCTTTAGCATGGTTTAGGGTTGAGGGGTTTAGGTTTAGGATGGCTTCGGGGTTTCGGTGTACTCAACCGCAAGAGTCCTTTTTGCTCAGGTCTGCGCCAACCCGGGCTCAGTAGTCCAAGATCTAGCAAAAAATCCTGCAGTCTCCATTCTCCATGACCTTCTCTATTTCAAAAGCACCCCAGAACGAGGCACTGCACTGAGGTGCCAGCACAAGTTCTTAGGATACCTCAAAAAATCATCGAAGACATATTCAGCCGGACAACCTTCGAGCAGTTTTCTTGGGATGTTCCAGGGGATCATCGAAAATTCTTCGAGTTTTCATCAACAAACATCGTTAAGTGCACATGGGGGCGCGGGACAGGGAGGTGGTTGGGCCGGGCTGGGGCCTGAGATGATTCCACGCCACATGCCACACTGATCCCCCAAAACCCTAAACTCCAAACCCTCAACAAAACCCCTAAACCCTAAACCCCATACCCTAAAGCCTGAACCCCAAACCCCAAAATCCTAAACCTTAAGCCTTACATCCCTGAGCATTCGAAAAACGGCCTTTAACAAAAGAAAACCTTATAACCCTAAGGACAGTGACACCCTCCAACCCTTAAATGTTCGAGGAGCGGTGGATCCCTGAAAGCAGGCGCCAGCACCTGGGTTAAGGGTTTGGGGGTTTACAGTGAACCCCAGAAAGGTGGAACATGGTTTAAGGAGGATTCGTGCTGGGATTCCCTATACCTTACCTTAAGGGCATGAGGATAATGATGTTCCAACTTTCTGGATTCGAGTATAGCGGTTTAGGAGTTTGGGTGTTGGTATTTAGGGGGTTAGGGTTTGGGGTCTAGGGTTTCGGGCTTAGGGTTGAAAGGTAAAGTGTGTGGGATTGAAGAAGACCCAGGGTGTAGGTTTCCTTTGCGGTTTCGTTTCTGCAGACAGCTTAGGAATCTTCCATTGAAGTCCACACGCCTTTGTAGTTGAAAGTTGCGAGCTTTACCTGGACACCATACTAAAGTGTTGTCGTTGTCGTTGTGGCGGGGGTGGTGGTGGTGGTGGTGGTGGTGGTGGTGGTGGTGGTGGTGGTGGTGGTGGTGGTGGTGGTGGTGGTGGTGGTGGTGGTGGTGGTGGTGGTGGTGGTGGTGGTGGTGGTGGTGGTGGTGGTGGTGGTGGTGGTGGGTGGTGGTGGTGGTGGTGGTGGTGGTGGTGGTGGTGGTGGTGGTGGTGGTGGTGGTGGTGGTGGTGGTGGTGGTGGTGGTGGTGGTGGTGGTGGTGGTGGTGGTGGTGGTGGCCTAAATCCTAAATCCTAAACCCTACGCACCCCAAACCCACGGCCCCTAAACCGGTGGCTGTTTTTGGTGCACATGTGTCCGGTTTTCATGCTCTTCGGGACATAGGCAGTCAGAGCCTTCAAGAAAGACTAAGGCTGCATCAATCTGCTGTAATATACCCCTAAACCTATTCTGACCATTTAGACCAATATAGGAGTTTCCGAAAAGAAGAGGTACCTTATTTTGGGGTCCTTATGATAGGGATCCTACTATTTAGGTATTACATGAGGGACCCCTATTTTCGGAATATGTATTATATACGTTGGCTCTAAAGTGCCTTGAAAGGAACGGCTTTCAGGCCTAAACATATAATTCTTGAACGGTTTCCCCCCATGGTGTGTGAGCCCGCTAACCTCTTGGCATCGGTCCTGCTCCCAACGTTTGGCGCAATGTACCATGCCTATCTCGTAGCACGCGGTTCGGAGGCACTCCCCAGTGCGACATTGTCGGACTTAGACGTGTTATGATAAAGGCACAGCTTCTGAACCTCGCCGCGGAGCTCCTCCACACACAACTCCGGGGTCCCTCTCTTCGCCTGTGGCTTTGTGCCAAGGCGGCCTGCAGAGATTGTCCTTGCTGGGCGTGCTAGCGGTATGGCATCCCAGGTCGCGATTTCTGTTGCAGCCGCTGCCATGACGGACAACGCGGCCACACTGAGTACTGCCGTCAGAGGCAGATGGACGCAAAGCACCCAAATCGCTGCACAGGGAGCCTTCGGAGTTCCGAAGTCCCATGGGTTTGCGAGGCTGGTATTCATCAAGTTTATCATCATTCTTGTTAATATTATTATGGCTCTCATTATCACAACCGTTAGTGTTACCATCATGCTTAATGTTACTATTGGTTCACCATGACTCATGACTCTTGTGATGAGTATGAATAGCGATGCTGTTAATGCTTCCTAACTGACATCAATATCCAGATCCTTGAGGGTAAAGTCCCACCTGCCACTCCTCAGCTGCAACGGTGTGTAGACTCCTAGAGCCTTAACGCTAGGCCCTCGACCGTAGAGCGTGAACCCTTAACACAATCGCTACATTCCAAAACAAGCTGAAAGGCAATAAGCCCTGTACAATGGAATGCTCAAATGGAGGTCGAAGAACTGCAAACCACAGAAGATATGTACATGGCTTATCCATAAAGTTTGAGGATTTGGACAGCTACCATGCCAGTCCCAGTATGTGTGTATGTATGCATATATATATATATAGACATGTGTGCATGTAGATATGTGTTTATGCATATGTATAAGTATACAAATAAATAAATATATATATATATATATATATATATATATTGCGAGAGAACCGCGGTTTCGGAAACTTGCGTTTAAATTGCACACCCTTCCCCTGGAGGGACACTCAACCCTCATTCTTCGACCCTATTTTCTAAACCCTTCGCCCTAAAAAGCTCATCCCGAAACCCTAAGCCAGGGAAGGCCAGCACGTGGGCCTCGAAACAATATCGAGCTCCGGGGGAAGATCCCGCTGGAGGCAGACAAGTGTTGTTTGGAAGTCAGTCTAAACTGGGGATGCTGCTATGTAGTGTTTAGGGATCTGTATCAGGGTCCCTCGTCCTCTGAAGGCAAACTTGGGGCTACAGAGAAGCGCCAGCGAGCCCGATGCCCTCTAATGAAGCAACACCTGTAATCTTCAAAAAACTCCTGGTAAGCCATACTGAGCAACTCCCCATTCCAGAAGTATGTTCCTAGGGTGGATAGCCGGGTATATAAGGCCTCCATGTTAGAGTTTCTGTACGTAGAACTTCGGTTCGATCGGATGTGTCTAGCATAGTGGTTCTTTGGCTTCGTATGCAGGAAAAAGTCCGGTTTGGGGGAAGTTTTTCAACCCTTACTAGAACAGGCCAACATCGTGATTAACGATGTGTGTCTATTCGGGTTGGACAGGGTTTGGCAACCGAGGCTGGTGTGCAGTAGGATACTATTGCCAGTTTATGGTGACCCGAGCAATTTGTGTGTAATTGGTTTGTAGTGACACTCTACTATACGGTAGTTAAAGCTACAGGGACAAACTCCTGCATTTACGTTCCTTACCCGAAGGATACACCTCGGCCTTAAAGTAGTCCCTATATAGGTACTTTATGGCCGAAGAACAGAGTATATGGGCGCATAGACCCCTACGGTAGGCTTCAGCCCTAAAGCTTGAACCCTTAAACCCCTAAACACCAAATCCGAAATCATCAACCCTAACCCGACATGGGCTCATGAACCCTCAGGGTTTTACTTGGAGGTTCCTCGGTAAGTACCTTAATGGCGTTATTCGTAATCCTATAGTTACAAAGTCCCATGAACCTTTAATTAGGTCAGCTTGCAGGTGAGGCCCCAAACATGGAGAACCTCCGGCCGGAGCTAGCGCGCCATCTTCAGGCTTCTTTGCGGGCCGCGGCACCCAGATGATCTTGAGGGCAGGAAGTTTTTCTCCGTGGAGTTTGATTGTTGTGCTTTTTGGGTTTTGTGGTGAAAGTAGGTATGCTCGTGGCCATTGCTGCTGTTGCTGCCGTAATGAGGTGTTATGGTTTCATGTTCTTTCGTGCTGGTTGCGGTGTTGTTTTTGGCGTCGATGCTGTCGTTAGCGGTGTGTGGTGGTGGCAGCAACGACGGCCAGAAGCAGGGTGACAAACACGATGACGGTGACGTTGTTGTTGATGATGATGATGAAGAAGATGGTGAGGATGATGATGGTCACCATGGTGATGAAGATAATTGTCTGATGATGATAATGACACAGATTACGATGATGATGATGAGGATGATGATTGTTGTTGTTGTTGTGGCAGGGTTTTGGGGGTCACACGAACCGATGCTGTTCGTGAAGCTACAGATAAACAAGCAGGATGGCTATCAAGGCATGGGGATGCAGCATACAAGCACAGGTCTCGCTGACTGTGGTGGTCACGTGGCTTAGGGGTCTAGGGTTTAGGGTACTCTTGGTATTATACGGTCTGATGATTCTCATCACCATCATCCTCAACTCTTACAACTTAAGCCGTGAATCAACACTATCACCGTCTTGCACTCGACCATGCCAAGCAAGCGCAACTGGTTGACTTCGCGATGGCCATGGTAGCTATGATCTCGAAAATGCCCATGGCCCATATTCGGTTTACGATACGAGCTACTGCAGTTCAGTAGGGTTGTGGATGACGGTGCTGACCATCAGATGGAGGAAGGCATGAGGACGAAAAGGGGAAGAGGCGAAAGAAGAGGAGGAGGAGGAGGCGGAGGAAATCCTACACCCTAAAATCTAACGAGCAGCCCAGGCGATTGGCCTTGTAAAGGCAATGTGGGAACTAACGTACTCACAAACACAGCAAGCGAAACAAACCAGCCAGGATGAGCTTCAACACATAGCCACAGTGTAGTTGCACGACATGGGCAGTTCTCTAAACCAAGGTCCCTTATTGTAACTTTATGTAGGTCCCCAAAATAGTCCCCAAAACAGTACGGCACCCTTGTAAGAAGGGCCCTCACAGGGACTCTAATTGAGAGAACCACCCACATCCTTACATCTTGGGCCCGATGCGGCTCCTCCCAACAACCCCCTTTTCTGTTTTGAACCCAGGCACCATGTTGAGTATGCTTGAGACCCGAATTCAAGGGTCCAAAGGTTCCAATAAGGAAAAGTTGGGTTTGGGACGGTAGTTCCGCAGGTTAGCATCTGGGAGAGCAACATGATTATTAGCTGCTTGGACCCCTTTTGGCGTGAGAACAGTTTCAACCCCGAGCCGCAGATTTTGTGCCAACCTCCAGCAAAACCACCACACCACCTAGAACCGAACACAGCACACAGGGGTTTGGGGGTTGGGTGGTATGGTTTACACCGCTCGAACTCTGGAGCTGTCCTTGCCCAGACACCCGGGAGGATCTAGAAAGTAGCCCCTAATTCGCGGCCCTCGACTACTAAGGGTACTTTACAGGAACCCCCATGAAGGGATCTACTTTTTGGATCTTCCCGGGGGTCTGGGTGGAAGGTGCGGAAGGCGAGTATACCTGGCGAAGGGAGCAACTGAGTTGCACACAAGACAGGGCTGAAGCAGACTTCAGGGTTTCGACCGCTGGGATGTTTAAGGCTTGGTTTAGGGGAAGGGATGACCTCAATCCCAAATTTCGGCCCTCTGTCGTCAATGGGCTTCTGATCACCCATCTAAGAGGCTACAGGCTCAAAATGCCTGCAGCCACGGGTTTTGTGGCTTACAGGTTTGGGCTTTGCCTGTTCAGCTTCACGCAGCCCCTCCACACTCAAGCTTGCAAGCCCCCTGAAATCTGAATCAAAGTACAGTAGAAGCCCAAAAGTTGGAAGCCGAATAGCCTCATCCTGAAGAGTAATGTATAGGGAATCCCGGCACTATTTGGCCTTAGTCCGGTTTCCAACTTGATGGGGTTTACTGTACACCAAACCCTAAACCCTTTACAGAACCCTTATAGACCCCTTTAAGGAACCCTTATAGGCTCCTGTTTCAAGGAACCCAACTTTATGGGGTTTACTGTAAGCCCGAAACACTGCTCAACCGACTTCCCCCAACCCCTATTCGCGAAAACCCTTTAAGCCCCAGTCCAGAAATCCTAAGCCGTTGCGCAATCCCTACCTCTGAATCCGGAGCCCAACGAAGAAACCCCATCGAACCCTGAAACCCTAAACCGTTGACCCTATACCCTGAAAACCTTAATCCTAAACCCTAAACCCCTAGTTAAGCCCTTAAAACCTTAAACCCTAAACCGCCAACACCCAGACTTCAAGCTGCATCCCTTCTTCGACGCTGCACAGAGGCGGGCTGTGGGTGGATCTTGATTCCTTTGTCGTCATAGTTGGGTAACATTTTTTGTTTGTGTTGGTATTTAAACTCAATAAGGAATAGCACTGTAGATTTTTAAACTTATCCCAACCATGAGCTAGATGCAGGGTTTAAGGGTTTGCGCAGATGTTGGAGGCTTGTACCTGGTTTTGAAGATCTTTAATAGAGTCCTTATGGCCCTTAATCGTGGGTATTTACTTGAGGGGTCTAGGTTTGCAGGATTTGTGTTCGATAGAAGGTTATACTGTGTCAGAAGGGTCATACCGTGTTTTCAGGAGGATTGTGCTTCCAAGTTGCCGCATCACACGCTCCCCCGAGTAGTAAACCCACAAGGCGTTGGAGCCTTGGGGTTAGCATAAATCCCATCCTAAGCTCGACAGATAGATAGAGCCACACACGCCCCGACTCCCAAAACACGGGAATCGCACTGAAATAGGCGTAATTTTGACTAACCACAGGATGAGTCTGGAAATGCCTTACAAGGGTTACTTTTTCGAACTATTCGGGCCCGCATTGGTACCTGACGTTCATCGGTTCAAGCACAGACTCCAATCGAACAATCCATATCCACAGGGTCTAGAGTACAGGATACTTTTGAGGGTAATTTAAGGGTTCCATTGAGGCTACCATAAGGGTTTACGGTTTGGGATGCGGAGTACCCATATACTAGGAAGCAGGGTTTCCATATTAGGAATTACTATTGTGCTATGGGGCAAGTTTTACTCATAACGATATCTAGGACCCTTAGGGCTATAGCCTAATTACATTCGTTTCTATTCTATTTCTCAGCAGCGTCCCAGAACACTACCCCCCCAAACTCCTAACCCAAACCCCAAATCGAAAATCCCGAAGCCTAAACCCTAAACCCTAAACCCTAACCCTAAACCCTAAACCCTAAACCCTAAACCCTAAACCCTAAACCCTAACCCGAAGCCTTAAGTCCCTAAACCCGACAAACAAGAGCCCTAAACCCGAACACGACGCGCTCCTTTGCCCAGGGCTGGCCTCCGGCGAACGAGTTCCGAGGCCATGCGCTGGTGTTCCCGACTCCGGAAAGGATCTACGAAATTGAGCCCCCCAAAGGGCATCCTGCTACATGGCTCAAGACAGGAATAGATGACATAATTATTTGGCTCAAGGCAGAAATGGAGCCCTCAAAAGAAATCCAAGCAATGTGTGGCACACGACATAACTAGAGCCCCAAAAAGGTATTCATGATAGAAATAGAACCAGAAAAAGATATCCTACCAGTACATGGCTTTAGATCAACACCTGTTAGTTCCAGCTGGGGAGGTTCGGGTTCCTGCGGTATAGGGATTTGAGGGATTGGGCTTCACCAGGTGGCACTTGGGAGAGCTATTACCCTTGTGGTCTGGTGGTAGAATTGTGTATATGACAAGGGGGGCCTCCACATATGGACTACTATGGTGCAATTAGTCCAGCAAAACCATCGTTAGAATGTTCTTTAGGGGCCGACTTCCATGATTTTAGTATCTTTGGACCCTCTGGGTATATAGTAGAAGCCCAAAAGTTGGAAACCCAATAGCCTAAGTCCTTAAGAGTAATGTATAGGGAATCCCAGCGCTTTTTGGCCTTTATCAGGTTTCCAACTTTATGGGGTTTACTGTAGGGGTTGATTTGTATACAAACAACAGCCTAGGCTCCTAGTCTTGCATAGGAATCATGTTGCATCGTTGTCATAACTCCATACCCAGATTCCCGGGAGGATCTAGAAAGTAGATCCCCTAATTTGGGGCCGTATACTACTAAGGGTACTTTATAGGAACCCCCATTAACGGATCTACTTTTTGGATCCTCCCGGGGGTCTGGGTAACTCTTCTGATTCCACAATCCTTCGAATCCCCAACAATCTCTAGGCCCCCAAGTCCTGGAGGATGCGTTGGAGTCTTCCAATCTGTAAGCCTTTCACTGTTCCCGCCCAAAAGCCTAAGCCGTGACTCGTAGAGCTCTACTGGGAGGGTCGGGAGACATAGTAAGTAGGTATTAGTAGTAGACTTATAAATGCCTTAAAGGGACCTTAATTAGGGTAATGGTACTTATGAGTCTCGAAAACAACTACTTACTAAGTCCCCCGACCCTCCAAGTAAAGCTGAACCATACGAACTTCAACCTCAACGTAAACCGCGGGGGTGAGACGTGCCTTAACAACCAGGACTTCCAGTATACCGCAGACTCTCAGACGCCTCCACCGAAATCCCTGGACCCTCAAATCCCTGAACCTGGATACCCCTACAAACCCTAAACGCCTCAACTCCTCACTTCTGAGCCCGGCAAAGCCCTCAACCCCTGAACCGTATGTCCCAAGCCAGTCGACCACCGAAATGACAAGCCCATGATCCCTCGGGCCAGACAGCCCTCAAATCCTGATATCATTTGGGTAGTTCTCTATATTAAGGTCCCGAAGGGCGCCGTACCATTCTTGGGCCATTGAGGACCTAAGAAGGGACCCTAATTCAGAAAACTACCCATTTGCACGCCCTGCTTGAAGGTTCGTGTTACTGAAGCCAAATTTTCACCGTACATACTCATAACCCGGCAGCCAGATGGGCGGAAACAAATCAATAAACGACCAAGAACATAAATACAAACACACAGATAAATAAATAAATATATATATATATATATATATATGTATATATATGTATATATATATATATATATGTATATATAGTTATACATACACATATATATATATATATATATGAAGGAAGAGAGAGAAAGTTGGGTTACAACTACAGCTATAATTGGTTGTTAGCAGTATCCCGACCCTCCAAGTACAGCATGGGACAGGACGTGGGGATGGACGTGACAAACTTGGCCAACGAGGGCCTCGAGCTGAGGCCCAGCCACGCTGCTTTCTAAAGTTAAGGCAGTTAAGGGCTCAAGTAGTTTAAGTTATCATAGCAAAGAAACCATATTATTTACTGTAGCTCCCTATTTTGGTCCCTTAACGTAGTTTCCTTCACAAGAGCCCAGTGAAGTTGGTTCCCTGAGATCTTTGCAGCTTCTTAGCTGCGTGATCAAATATTACACGTTTTGGGAGTATGTAGCCCCCTTATACAACTGAAAGTTGACAATTGTTTGGGGAGCCTATGAAAATTGTAACTAAGAGACGGTCTTGCAGGGTCTTTTAGGGTTTCATCCGGCTGTCGGGACTGGGACTAGGGTTTTGAGGTTGAGTCGCAGGTTTTGGCGCTTGAAGCGTTCCGGTTTGGGGTTTAGGTTGGGACTCATGCTGATTGGCTAGGTGGTTGGCCGTATACTCTAGTCTAATGGGTAGTGCACACTAGGTTATAGTATTATATCATAGTCTATAGTAGGTTATAGTATAGTACCTTGGGTCTTCGGATACTACGATTCAGGGCATAGGCCAGTTCTGCGAAATTGTAAGCTTACCTACTTCTGGATGTTTCTTCAGGTATGGGAGATTTAGGTAGAGCTTGGGGTTGAGGAGTTTTCGGACTTCTGGGGAAGAGGTTATAGCGGCAGCAGGATTTGGGTTCGGCTTTTACCTGGGAAAGTCTCTGAGCTGGCTTTAAGGTTCAGGATTTTAATGTAGGGCTTGCTGGGGGTTAGGGATGTAGAGAGTCAGGGTTGGGGTTTCAGGGGTTAGGGCTCAGGGTTTAGATGTTAGGGCTTAACACTGGTGCCCCTAGCCATGTCGTGGCGCCGAACATGGGACCGGTGTGATGCACACGCTCCCCTCAACTTAGTTAAACTCTAGATCCTAAAACCCTAATCGTATTTAGGGTTTAGGTCTAGGTCCCAAAAACCACACCCGGAAAGGCTTGTGAACCTTGAAACCCTTCTATTTTGGTGCTTGGACCTGTAGGGTAATCCTGTCACCAAAAATACCACTGCCCAGGCCCACAGCCATAGCTAGCTGACAAAGATGGGTTGGGGGTAAGGGTTTAGGGATAGAGGATCATGGCAATTACAACGGCATAGCCAGAACATATCATCATTCTGCATCTTGGCCCAATGTGGAGTGGGCGTTTTCGGCGTATTGCTTCGACGTCACTCCAACTTCTCTTGGTTTGCCTTGTCCGTGCGAGGGCTGCGGTTCTCTGTGATACCATTGTGGTCGAGATGAGGGGATGCCTCTTCCTGGATGGGCAAAATCGAAGAATCTAGCTCCTTCAGCCCTGCCCCTAAATCTTTAGTGCAGGATGTGTAGACTTTCGGACCTTTAGGGTTTGGGGTCACGGTCAGTGCTTGGCAGTTCGGGGTTGAGGTTGGGGGTTTAGAGCTGTGGAAGGGATATTGTTCTTCTTGGCTTATGATTGCGCGCTGGGCCTTTAGCTTGGACAGAAAGTGTCGAGTAGGAACTCGAATCTTGCTACGATTCGCGATCTCAAAGAGAAGCCACGTTGCCACCTCCCCCAAGTAACTCTCGCAGAGGTCCCGCCCAGACAACCCCCCGCCCCCCTCCCCTAATTATTTGATCTTCCTTCACGCATCAATGAACCAACTCTCCTAGCTGAGCTATGATGGGCCCTTAACCCTAGAGGACCCTGCAAGTATCTTGGTATAAACCCCAGAAGCCCGACACCCTAAACCCTGAATCCTAAGCCGAGTGTAGGAATTCTCGCTGGGTACCAGTCGGAAAAGAGCCCTTTAAAAAAAAGCAAAAGACAGAAATAATCCCTAGCCAAAACTCTACCCTCACAGGGTCTGTGCCTTTCCCGCAGCACCCACAGGGATCGAGACGAGTCGCAAAATCTACGCACCACACGCATGACAAGGCGTGGGAGCGAGTTTTGGTTCGTCTTTGCTAGGGTTTAGGGTTTACTTCGACTTCAAAAGATAGTAGTTGCATGTTGTAGGTATTGGGCCAGTATGTTGCCTACTCTGGAGGGTTGAGGCAGGGTTAATTGTGGGACCGCTGGCAGAACGACTCTCCTTCCATGAGGGATAACAAATGCAACTCTTGTGTAGCTGTGATAAGAGATGCTAGTGGGCTAGTGCAGTCTGGCGTGTAGACATTGCCGGCATCATCACCATCACATCCGTCGTCGCCGTCATCACCGTGACGACCATCACTGCCATCATAATCATCATCCTCATCGTCGTCATCATCTTGTTCATCACCGTTTTCGTCACATGATATGGTAGTCAGCGTCACCGTTATCATGGCAAACGTCAACGCACTACGTTCATCATCCAGGTTCGGTGCAGGGTTGGGGTTGTTCGCAGTCTATGCCAGTAGCCAACACGCTAATGCTCCAAATCCCACGGATCTCCCACCCCTCCTCTGCCCACCCACTAGATCGTGAACGAGAGCTTAGCGTTTGCTTGATGCCTCGGAGAGGCTGTAGCGAACTTTGCGAGGATCTGCGACCGCTAAATCGCAACTATTGAATGCAGCCGCATATGTTGTGTAAGTCTGTCGGTTCGCTAAACCCTAAACCCTAAATCCTAAACCCTCATATTATAAGTTCAGCAGTCAAGCTGAGGGTCACGGCCACAGTCCAGAGTTGACTATTTGCGGTTCGGGGTTGGGGTTTAATCGGTTCGTCATGTGTGTGGTTCAATATTAGGGTCCCTTTTGGGGTCCTTATTATAATACAGCACCGAATATTTAGGGTACCCCAAAAAGGGACCAATATTTTGACAACCACCATGTATGTGCCATCAACGCTATATATATATATATATATATATATATATATATATACTTACGATGCAACTTGCAAACTTCAGAGTCGTGGCCTGGAGTTATGCACGTCGTACCAGCCGGGCGATAAAGCGGTAAACCCCTATGATGTTTTTTCTTCCTACACCTACGCCCGATCTTCTGAGAGACATATCCCGACTTGAACACTGTACCCTAAACCCTAAACCGTGGAGTCATTTGCAAATTTTGCTCAGCCCTAAAGTGTGGGACTTCAAACCTTAAACTCTCAGCCCTCAACACTTAAAGCCTGTAGGCATATTACAGATGCCGTACATCGCCCGCCTGGCATCCAGATGTAAAGCTTTATGAAATGTCATGACTCCACTACATCGCCGGGCCGAAAGTTTCGACCCACTGGTGCATCCTCAAACTTATTCAAGCTTTTGCGGAGTAGCGGAGTACCTCAAAGTGTCGTTTGCCCTATGCAGGCCAGCGGAGAAATTCCTACCCCGTTTTAAACATATAATACTTTTTAGTTCCGGCGGAGGCCCCAAGGCTCACTTGTGTTAGGAGTCTATGGGGAAGAGGGTGGAGGTCCATGTCTTGTAGCATGTTGAAGCTCGTGGGTCGAACTATCGGCACGGCGCAGCTTCCATTTTCGAGGCAAGAGTCCCCTCCTTTGCAGTCCTGGTGAGAGCTAAGCCCCCGAACACTGTCACCCCGGTTTTGTTTGGGCTGGACTCTGGCACCCAAAATTGACGCTGCCTCACCGGGACCTTTTCTGTTCAGCAAACCTCGCCAAACTTGTTGCTGTGACCTCATGACCTCCTTCAGGTCCCCTTTAGAAAGACATCCCCGTCTAAGAAACGATTCAGGAGGCATCGCCGGGCCGAAAGTTTCGACCCACTGGTGCATCCTCAAACTTATTCAAGCTCTTGCGGAGTAGCGGAGTACCTCAAAGTATCGTTTGCCCTATGCAGGCCAGCGGAGAAATTCCTACCCCGTTTTAAACATATAATACTTTTTAGTTCCGGCGGAAGCCCCAAGGCTCACTTGTGTTAGGAGTCTATGGGGAAGAGGGTGGAGGTCCATGTCTTGTAGCATGTTGAAGCTCGTGGGTCGAACTATCGGCCCGGCGCAGCCTCCATTTTCGAGGCAAGAGCCCCCTCCTTTGCAGTCCTGGTGAGAGCTAAGCCCCCGAACACTGTCACCCCGGTTTTGTTTGGGCTGGACTCTGGCACCCAAAATTGACGCTGCCTCACCGGGACCTTTTCTGTTCGGCAAGCCTCGCCAAACTTGTTGCTGTGACCTCATGACCTCCTTCAGGTCCCCTTTAGAAAGACACCCCCGTCTAAGAAACGATTCAGGAGGCATCGCCGGGCCGAAAGTTTCGACCCACTGGTGCATCCTCAAACTTATTCAAGCTCTTGCGGAGTAGCGGAGTACCTCAAAGTGTCGTTTGCCCTATGCAGGCCAGCGGAGAAATTCCTACCCCGTTTTAAACATATAATACTTTTTAGTTCCGGCGGAGGCCCCAAGGCTCACTTGTGTTAGGAGTCTATGGGGAAGAGGGTGGAGGTCCATGTCTTGTAGCATGTTGAAGCTCGTGGGTCGAACTATCGGCCCGGCGCAGCCTCCATTTTCGAGGCAAGAGCCCCCTCCTTTGCAGTCCTGGTGAGAGCTAAGCCCCCGAACACTGTCACCCCGGTTTTGTTTGGGCTGGACTCTGGCACCCAAAATTGACGCTGCCTCACCGGGACCTTTTCTGTTCGGCAAGCCTCGCCAAACTTGTTGCTGTGACCTCATGACCTCCTTCAGGTCCCCTTTAGAAAGACACCCCCGTCTAAGAAACGATTCAGGAGGCATCGCCGGGCCGAAAGTTTCGACCCACTGGTGCATCCTCAAACTTATTCAAGCTCTTGCGGAGTAGCGGAGTACCTCAAAGTGTCGTTTGCCCTATGCAGGCCAGCGGAGAAATCATATAATACTTTTTAGTTCCGGCGGAGGCCCCAAGGCTCACTTGTGTTAGGAGTCTATGGGGAAGAGGGTGGAGGTCCATGTCTTGTAGCATGTTGAAGCTCGTGGGTCGAACTATCGGCACGGCGCAGTGTCAACACCCCCTCATGTTTCCCATAGCCCCCTAAACCTTAAACCCTCTAAAGACCTTGAAAGCCTCGTCAGCAGTGCTTTGTCTAAGGGCCCATGTCCTCATACTGTATATACATTGGCCTCAGTTTAAGCCCTATGTACATACTTTCGGGCCAAAGTATTTGGACCTTTTTACCCAAAACCCTGAACCCGTATGGTCCACTAATCGAACCCTTATGGTACCCTTAAGGAACCCCCCTCATGGGAACCCTTTTGGGCACATGGACCCTTAGGGCTTGTCTTTCCGGCTCCACGTTTGCTTTCACGGTCTTGGCGTCAGGATCTTCGCGGAAACCAACAAAGACGGCAACGAGGAGCGGACTTCGATTCTCCTCTGGGTTTAGGCTTACCTGGACCCCAACAGTGTGTAGAATCATAGCTTTTTAGAGCAGAAAGTAGGGTTTCTACATTACGGATTACTTACTCGTATGGTTTGGGGAAGTATCCCCCAATAGCAGTACCTTGGACCCTTTGACTTTGGGGAAAGGCCTGCGAGGAGCTCGATACTGCGGATGGACAGAATCCTGCATGACCCTAAGGACTCTAAGCTTTGGGACCTATGGTATATTCCTTATAATGGGTAATGCAGGATTTTGTCCATCAGCAGCCATAATGCCGAAACCGTGCCACAAAGGTCCAAAGGACCCAGTAATTAGGTGCTCAGTTTTAGGGTTTAGGGTTTGTTATGTAGGTTGGGATTTTCGGGAGTATATGATAATCAAGTACCTGGACACATAGGGCTACAACAACAAAGAAGCAAAGCTATGGTTTAGATCTCCACCTGGCCCCAGTTCCAGCCCTGTATACACTCCGTCATAAGCCCTATAAGTCCCTGTAAACACATATGAACCCTTATAAACCCATATAAACTCTACAAACCCCCTATAAGCAGTATTAACCCCCATAATATCCCGTATAAACTTTTAGTACAAACCCTAAACCCTAAACCCCTAGAAGCAGTAATAACCCCCATAATATCCGTATAAACCTTAAGTACAAACCCTAAACCCTAAACCCTATAAGCAGTAATAACCCCCATAATATCCGTATAAACCTTAAGTACAAACCCTAAACCCTAAACCCTATAAGCAGTAATAACCCCCATAATATCCCGTATAAACCTTTAGTACAAACCCTAAACCCTATAAGCCAGAAGCCTGCCTCGGTAATTGCCAGAAGCAGCCGCCCTGGTGGATCGCGCATCCTGGCAATCGGAGGCTCGCCATCCGAGTTTGAGGTAATGCCGCCTTTGAGGGTTCTGTTGATGGCCGTTTAGAGTCCTCTTTCAGGCTTGTGCGTTGTTTCGGTTTTGTGTTAATTAAGTACACTCGGGGTTCCAAGAAGGTTGCTCAGGGGTGTAAGTAGGTACGAGGGTTTGGAGAGTGGTTAGGTTTGGCCTCGATAGAGCTTATAGACCTGCTTTAGGACTCAGGTTTAAGCGGTTTACGGTTGAGGCTGGCTTTTTGAGCATGAAAAGTTCTGAATCATGAACAAGATTTGTGTGGGCGCAGATTCAGGATTTCGGGTTGGTGGCTTGAGGGTGTAGCAGTGCTGCGAACACTATGCCTCATCCCACCCATCTAAGGTTTGCAATACAGGTGTCTACACCTCGTAGTTTTTACGTAGATTCTCCAGCTGAGCCAAGGAAGCTACCTATAGCCCTGAGTTCTGAACTTGAAACTCAAGACCCAGAACCCTTTAATTATACACCTTTGCCTTTGACCTCAACCCCCACTTCCTGAGTCCTAAGTTCAAGCATTTGCCTTTTTACATTGTGTGTTTAAATCGCGGAGGACACCCGACAAACTGGGTCCGTAGTCAGGGGGACCCTTTGGCGGGGCGAAGTATGGGTCGGTACCAGGCCCCACATATGGTTGGACAGCCCCACATCGCTAGAAGTTAATCTGCGGCTTCGGATGTAGCCTCCAGGACGTAGATCGAAATTAGAGTCGCACTAAGATCTAGCCGCGTAGTCTAACGCTTTTCTAGAATTGGTCGGGCAGCCGCCGTGCACGTTCTTCAGGGTGAGGGTAATTCTCTAGGGGCAAGCCATCCTATGTACAGCCCTACTTACCCCAAACCCTAAGGCCCTAAACCCCTAAACCCTGAACCCGTGGAGTAGTCATTGCAGTAATTCTTGTTGGCGTCTCAAGGAAGCCAGGGTTGTGCATACCACCTGAAGGGAGCAGAGCCCACGATATTGTTTTTAAAGCTGTTTCGGCTGGAGTTCCTGGGTGGATTGTAAACCCTAAACCTTGAACTCACCCCGCAGCCTTTGTGCTGATGATGACTCTTGTTATACCACGAGGATTCCGATTGTTGTGCTTATTTCGATTAGTTTGAAGTGCGATTATTGGTCGTTTTTCGCTGCGCTGTGACTATTTCCTGTTGCTGTTCTTGCTACTTTCACTATGGAATGCGCATATACTGCTACGGCCAGTGTTACTACGACCCCAACCACCCTAACCCTTGCACTGTGTCTCTCCCCCCAACCCCCAACCAAGAGAACAAGAACCCAAACGTCGTGATTGCATCCCTTTGATTAGTGCTTGATCCGTGTTTTATGTTGCTTTGATCCGATGGTTGGTAATCTTGAGCGTACCCTCTAGCAGATATGGTATTATGATTTATTGTTGATCCCAGTTTCGATTTGTTGTTGATCCCAGCTGTATCATGTGTATTTGATCCTTGTTTGCCCTCAGCCGATGATTGGATTGATCAGCAGCCTCACACTTTTCAACTTACACCTTGCAGAGATGTCTACATAATCTCGACAATCCCGGAACACTTAAATCCTAGACCATATCTGCCATATCTGCACATATATATATATACATACACATACAGCTATCTTTCTATAGATATATGACTGTTACTAGTCATGACCTCCTGGCGTTTTGCAGGAACGTGGTCTGGGATGTCTTTGGCGCCATGTTCGTCCTCTACGCATCTTGCTCCCGATGGTCATCATTTCTGCCGTTATTTGTTAACCGCCACGCAGAAGCCGTGGTAACGTCTGCAATTGGAAGTTTCAGGAGGTTATAAGGTCAAGACTTCCCCAGGATATATCTACAGTTTCGACAATGGTACGACATCCTGGCGTGTGATGACCGTCAGTGTTTTTATTCTGGTCTTCGGGATTTAGGGTTCCGGGCAATGTGCCTCCAGTCAGGCCGGACTGAGCCTGCTGTGTAGTGTAGAAATTCATAAAGCAGCCCCTGTAAAGTTGATTATTATGTGTGTGTGTGTGTCTCTCTCTCTCTCTCTCTCTCTCTATATATATATATATAGTAATAATAATAATATTAATAATAATATTAATAATAATAATAATAGTAATAATAGTACTAATACTAATACTAGTACTAATACTACTACTAATAATAATAATAATAATATTATATATATATATATAAACACATAGTTATATGAGGCCCAAAGCTCTCTGAAACCACGGTCCAGGTAAAGTTGACAACTTTGCTGTTTTAGGCTTTAGGGCTTCTTCTCGCAATGCAACAAAGGATTGCTTCGTGATCCCGCTGCGCGTCTTCAACCCACCTGTCACCCCTGTGTGGGTCCTTGTCGCCCCGGGCCCAGTGAGCTTGAGTTCCTGCTTAATTGGGGTTCAGGGTTTTGGCATTTAGCTTTCAGGGTTGGGTGTTTGGGGATGTTTTGAGTGCAGAAGGTTTGGGGTTCAGTGCTTGAGTGTGTGAGGTTTTTGTGGCGTCGACGATGGGCTGCAGTCCGCAAACAATCTGATATCAACCTATATATACTTAGGGGCGGAGGAGGTAACCTTTTTCTTATTAATCCTACTAAATTTCACAAGGTTAATTTTGGGGCTGGGGTAGTCAGCCCCTATAAGAAATTATAGCCCCCTGAAGGAAAGCCCCCTAAACTCTGAGCCCTGAATTCCGGAGGCCTGTGCTTAAGCCTCCAGGCCTCTCAGCGCAGAGAGCTCCCTCAACAAACGTTCTAAGCAACCCTAAACCCAAAGCCCAAACCCGAAGCCCTATAAGCCCCACCTGTAGCCGGAAAGACCTACCTTTTGAGGGTTCCTTACTATGGTTTCTATATATAGTTCCTTAAGAAGGTAGGTTTTTTCGGCTGCAGGTAAACCCTACGAATCTTAAGGGTCCAAGTGCCTCAGAATCATATACTCTCCCAAATACTGACCTAACAAACTGCTATCGCGAAGGGTCCATGTACCCATATAGAAGCCCCAAAGCAGTCCTCATACAGGTACTGTGGGGCCCAAGTGGGTACTATACTATGGGTACATTGACCCTTAGGGCATCGTCGATATTGCAAACCCCCTAAACCCTAAAGCCTGAACCCTAAACCCTAAAACCTAAACCCCCTAAATCCTAAAGCCTGAACCCTAAGCCCTAAAACCTAAACCCCCTAAACCCTAAACCGAAGTACCCGACCATCAGGTTCATGGGACCCTCGGCGAAAGACTCTCGACTCCTAAAACCTCGGCTTGTAGTTTCTGCTCAAGACCTCGTCTAAGGGCTCCCCCCATCAAAGTTAGTCAAAGGGGAGAAGGAGGGACCCTTAATGGGGACCCTACTACCCTATAATGGGCTATATATGGGTATATAATAGATATATGAAGGGTATACCCATAAAAGTTAGGATTTAGGTACGGCCCCCATACAGTGAGAGTCTATAATAGGGCTACTATTAAGGTCCTACTAAATCTATCTTATGGATAGTACTCAACTATTACTGAGTGGGGGCCGTACGCAAGTTAGGATGCTATGGTTGTAGGGCAGGGGTTTTAGGGCTTTGGGTTTAGGGCTTCGGGGTTTAGGGGACCATTGTAAGTGTCTTGGGCCAAGTTTAAGGCTTAGGGTTCCTGCTGGAAGCCCCATAGAATTTCTGACCCTTGTAGCAAGATAGGTGCTGTTGCTTGTGGAGGGGCTTTGAGATCCTGTATTCAACCAGCTCTACCCCCTACAAGCATCTTGTACTAGATGGGCAACAGACCCAGGAGTGGCTGGGCATCATCTACTGGACGATCAACATCCCTGTGACCCTGACCCTGGGTCCCGGAGCCCAGACGGTTTAGGGTTTGGGGTTTAGGGTGTGTAACAGTATGCACGCGGTGGGTGCGCTTCTTTTGAAACGGGGGCGCGCCCACTCATCGCGCGCTTGCATCAGCATGTAGTCCCGGCCCAACCACCACAACTATTCTCAATCAGGGTTTAGGGTTAGGACGGTTCCTATACAGGCACCTTAGGGCCCAAAGCTAGACGATGGGTCCCAGAGCCCAGAGAGTCAAAAGTTGCATGGTTTCTCAGGTCTTGGGCACTACCAGGGTTTGGTCAGGTTTAGCATAGGGTTTAGCACCTAAGTTTAGTAGAGGCCTGTTAGGATCCAGTTAGAGAATGTACCTGGGTCTTACTTGGAGGATCATGGGAAGTATTATAAGTATAGTTACCTTAGTTATAACCCTACTTACTAAGTCCCATGACCTTTTAAGTAATGGGGTTCCTCGTTTGCTACTTTAGGGCCAAAGTTTAGAGCCAGGGCCCCCGGCATGGTCCAGAGAACAGGCAACCTATAGTCTCCATTGTAGTTCCTTTTTGGGGTTCCCTTTTAGGATCCTCAATATAGAACTGGTTAAACCAAAAAGGGAACTACAATGGAGACTATAGGAAGAGTTCCAAATCCCATGCGCAGCATTCCAGAGACTTCTCAAGGGGAATCCTGTGCGTAAAAGTCGCGGCCCGCTGCATTCAAGCACGTTAGCGGAGCACGAAGCTGGGTTTAGGGTTCAGGGTTTTAGGGTTTAGGGTTTTAGGGTTTAGGGTTTAGGGTTTTAGGGTTTTAGGGTTTAGGGTTTAAGGTTTTAGGGTTTGCGGTTTTAGGGTTTAGGGTTTTAGGGTTCAGGGTTTAGGGTTTTAGGGTTTAGGGTTTAGGACGGCTGCACGAGGCTTCCGGATCAGATCCACCTCGACACGGTCAGGCTGCGAGGAGCTGCGACAGACTTCGGAGACACTTTGCCGGATCCACTGACGGCAATGCCCGTTAACTCAAAGGGGCCTAAGTACTATTAGGGGGGATACTTCCCCAAATCATCATAGTAACTCCTAATATAGAGACCCTATATGCTACTTATCGTAATGGTAATTTCTTTAGAAACCCTAGATTCTACCATATAAGTACTGAGGACCCTTTGGTTAAGGCATCCGGAGCAGAGGCAGAGGCAGAGCCGGGGTCGGCGGTGGGTTGACCACTTAAAGGCTCATGGGACTTAGTAGCTGGCCTTATAAGTAGGGTAACTATACTTATAACCCCACTTACTAAGTCCCATGATCCTCCAAGCAGAGGTTGGAGGCGCCGGGCTTCGACGATGCTCAAAGTTGGGGCATTAGGGTTCTGGGTTCAGGGTTTAGGGTTAGGGGTTTAGGGTTTAGGGTTTAGGGGTTTAGGGTTAAGGGTTTAGGGTTAAGGGTTTAGGGTTAAGGGCATAGGGTTTAGGGTTTAGAGTAACCACGAGTCCGGGGTTCGAAGGCTGCTTGGGTTATGAGGCCGATCCCTAAGCCTGTATTTTTTTACCTTATAAAATCTTTAATTCCCAAACCCAGTTTAATGTGTTGGGATTCGACGGCTTGGGAGTTTCCTTTCAGAGAATTTCGAGGTTCCATTCTTAAAAGCCACCTGTAGCCAAAAGAAAACTTTTCTTTAACGAACAGACCACAATAAGGAACCCTGAACAGGTAGGTTTTATTCGTTTAGGTACGGTTTATGTGCTGTCTGGGGCGAAGAACAAGCCGAGTAGGCCAGTAACGAAAAAAGCCTGGGTTTCGAAATTGAGGGCGGGCTCGACTCCACCTTACGCTCGAGACCCTCATGGACTGAAAGTGATCCCCGGATGTAGCCGAAACCGCAAACCCTTCAGCGGGACATTGAGGGTCCTGATGGCAGGTTACGTCGTGGATGGGGAGGCCATCATGAACCCTTACAGATTCTCGCCTCATGAAGTGGCGTGCTTTGAGGCTTACGGTTTAGTCGCCCAGACTATAGAGTTGAGACGCTGAATCCCTAAACTCTCAATCCTGATCCCTAAACCCTGAACCCTAATCCATATACCCTGAACCCTAAACCCTAATCCCTGAACCCCAGACTTTGATCCCTAAACCCTGAACTCGAATCCCTGGTAAACCCTAAACCCTGAACCTTACAGAGTTTAAGCTTTTGGGTTTGGGGGTTCAGGGCTGAGGGCATCAATCTGCCTTGCGTACGGCTTCAGCTACCACGATGGGTTTGTTATTCCAAGTTTCTCGGCTGTAGCAGCAAGTACTCCCAATAGCTTTATCTCCAGCTTTGACGTACTAAGCCGGCGTCTTGGCTTGCCCCCTGTAGGGCAGCAACAAGATCCAAAGTCCAGAGAGGCCGAAGCTATGGTCTCCTTAGGAATTATTTTTGTTCATATGCAACCAAGAGAATGTCAAAGATAGTATTTTATTGTGGTTCTAAGGGGGTATAGGAAAAGTTCCCGTTATTGATTTACATTGGCCCTAGCGCTTCTAACTCATCTGACATGCTTCGATGAAATGACATCGTGTATCTTTACCTGTAACAAACAACTCTCTGAGAACGGGCAAGCACGCAGTCAGGGCAGCGAAGATTCCTAGTGTAGTGACAGCGAAGTTGACTGTGGTACGGTAGTCACCGTCTTGGAAATGCTACCACTACTAGTTTCACGGTATGTCTTACAGAAACTTCATAATGGTTGTTGTTGTTGTCTGTCATATGCAGTTTGGTAGTTATTCGTGTCGTGTTGTGGTATATTTACTGTAATTAGCTTCTTGTTTCGTGTCTACGGCAATGGCGATGGTGATGATGGCCACGTGCTGGGCAATCATGATGCTGGTGACAGCTACAGCTCAACAAATAGAACTGTAAGTTGTTGGAATTTTGAGCGCAGGTGCAGCCACTGGAATTGTTTAAATACTTAGAAGTGGAGCTGACGTGGCAGCAGGAGGACGAGGACGAGGAGCCGGTGAGGAGAGGAGCAGGAGCAGGACGAGGAGGAGCAGGAGAGGGAGGAGTAGGACGAGGGACCGGGACGAGGAGTAGGAGAGGTGAAGCAGCAGGCAATGCTGTCATTTCCAGTCCCTAATTCTCTTAGCTGTCCCAGCCTATCCCTACTGTAAGACCCTATAAATACCCTAACCATCCCCGAACCCTAAACCCCAAAGCTAAGGCATCTTCATGCACTATCTCAAGACCTGGTTTGTCGTGGATGCCATGGTCTGCGGCCTCAGTCTGCCAAATTTGAACGGATTCATGTGTTGCAATGTATATATATATATATATATATATATATATGTATGTGTGTATGTATGTATGTATGTATGTATATCGGCCTAAATTCCCAATACTGTTATGCGGGTTCCTTTGTATGAATCTGGTAGGATGCTCCACAAGAAGCTCACAAAAATGGAAGGGCTTAACATGGGTTGTATAAGGAGTGTTTAAGGGAAGGGCTTCATATGGGTTTCATGAAGCATGAGAAGGGTTTTGTACTCGTTGCTTCTATAGAGGTTCTTCCCCATAACTACCCTTTGGGACCACGTGCGCATATGGTATATGCTACTTTTTGCTTGGCAGTAGCAGGCCGATTATCTAGGTACGATTACAAAGTATATGCTACATGTACTACGTGGCTCTATGGGTACGTGGAGCCACTGGGTAACAGATCGACCCATAGCTAGCTACCTTGCCTGCAAGTCGGCTCTCATCATGGTTCCAATGAAGACAGCATCAAAGAAGGACCCAAGCCTCCAAGTAGGGTTGTCGGGGATTCAGGAATCAGGGGTTCAGGGTTCAGGTTTTAGGGTTAGGTGTGACAGCCCCAGGAACAGAACATGCCGACGTCGGTCTTAGGTGTTGGGGAGCTCGACACGCCACGGAGACCCAACCCTGCTTTATTGGCAATCCCCACCGACAAACCCAAAGGGTCCGATGTATTGTTATGGGGGATACTTCCCTAAGTCATGATAGTAATTCTTTCCATGGAAACCCTACATTCTACTGTATCGGTAAATAGGACCCTTTGGGAAATCTATGAACTAAATGCAGAGCCCTCGTCCCGCGCGCTGGACGTAATATAGGGGCCTTAATAATTAGAATAGGTTTTGGGGCCCCTTACCCTAAACCCTAAACGCCTAAACCGTAAACCTTAAAACTTACTAACCCAGAGGGTCCACATACACCTACTATGGGATTAGGTCCCAAAATACCATTCCTATTATGGTTTGGGCCTAATTCCACAATGGTAGTATATTCGGACCCTCTTAGTAAACAAACCCCTTAACGGGCCCTGAGCGGAGCCACGTTAGGTGTTGCCCTTTGACTGGACTTTCGCAATCATGGACGTCGCCGCTTGGCACAAATGCTGCCACAGTGAAGACCTAGTAGTCGAGTTGACAACCTTTAACTTTTTTTGGTGGTAGTATAGTCCCTGTATATTGCACCTGTACTCCCAAAGGTTGACCTTTAGTTCCCCAGGACACTCGACAGGTAGGAAACTCCAATTTGAAATGAAAGCCCTCCACATACGTTCCAACATTGAAAATAAAACATTGAAATGAAAACCCTAGCTGGACCGCAAAAGTATGTAGACTACCATAGGTGTTGGGCCATTATCTTACCTACTGTTCACGGTTTACTGTAGGTAGTCCTTAAACCCTAAACCCGCGCACCCTGATCCTTACAGGCCATAGACCCTGACCCTTGTCATCTTCAGATGAAGGATACATGGTAGGGAGATTTCCTGGCGAAGACTGGCCATAGTCAAGACGTGCAAAAAATTACAGAGATGCTAGGTAGACGGACAGATCGATAGGTAGACAGTTAGGCAGACGGATTTAGGGCTTAGGGTTTTCAAACTGTTTTAAACGCATGAAGACTTGAAGGGTACAGTAATCCTTCTGTCACAACCCCGTTGAATAACCCTCATAGTAAGGCTTATCAAGCCCTGTAGGCTTAAGCGAGCTATGCTCAGTGTCTGGAAGCTCCATGTTGTCAATTACGAGGGTTTAGGACTCGTTTTCTATGGTTGCAGCGTGTAAGGGTTTAGGATTTACGGCTTCATGGTTTTAATTGGACTTCCTACTTTATGATGCAGTCTTGCTGCTCGTTCCTGCAAAGCCCCTTAGCGAAGTATCTCGAGTGCGTTTATGGACACAGACATAGACATCGTGACAGATAAAGAAATCTACATGCACATCTTTTAGATTCAGTGGTTTTGGGGTTGGGTGTGCACCATCTGACGCTAAGGCAAGCGAATGCTTGTTTCAGAGCTCAAATATACCTGAGTTTCAGCTAGTACTAGCAGCTTCCTCTAGCCTGAGTATACTAGTATTAGAGCCAACTCCAAAACCGCTAAACCCCTAAACCCGTAAACTCCTACCCCGAAACCCTGCACCCCTAAACCCCAAACCTACCGTAAACAAGGCCCCCTGCAGAGCCTGCTTCTACTTGGAGGGTCGGGGGACTTATATTATTATACAATAAGTAGTTATCTTGTAGACTTATAACTATCATAAACCTAATTAGGGACCCTTTCAAGGTACTTGTACGCCTACTTGATACCTACTTACTAAGTTTCCCAGACCCTCCGAGTTCCCGCGAGTGCTTGGCGTTTTCTTGGGTGCTTGATGCATCCTTGGTTTCTTCACTGGGGGCATGTAAGATATCAGAAAGAGGTCTTGGGGGATTTATATATAGCATAATAGGAAGCCCTTAGGAAAAAATATTAGTATCATCTAGGCTTCTATGGCACCTCAGATTTCCTACATTCGCTTTTTATGCAGCTCTGCCGAGGAAGCGGAAACAGGCCCAGGGAGTTGCCGAGCTTTGTTTTAGGGGAGGATTTACTATAGGGGCCTTAATAATTAGAATAGGGTTTTGGGGTTCCTTTACAGGTGCTAGCATAAGGGGTCTATAAGGGGACTATAGTACAGGGGCCTTGATAGTTGCAATAGTGTTTTGGGGACCGCTATACCATACTTATACTAAGGAATTCCCCAAAATAGTGTCGGTAATTATTTAGGCCCCTGTAGTATATGTCAGTGTTTCCGGATGGCATAACTCTATAATGCGCGCAGGACATATTCGTTCGATTTCGAGGTGATGCTTTGCATATACTGACTGCAGATTAGACTTGACTTACGGCCTTCATCAAAAGCGACCGGAGAGTCGACTTCAATCCATTTCCAGGGCTGCCGGTATGGATGGCTGCTGGTGGGTGCTGGTCTTGACTGTTTCGTTGTTATCATCACCATCAGCATCATCGTTTCTGCATCTGCATCATCATTCGCTGCATCACCACCACGTCATCATCATCATCATTACGGCCACGTCTGCGTGTCTTCTGCTGATGGTGGCGCATACTTCGGACGAGCATGGTTTTGCATTGCATGCCTACCACAGCGGTATGAAGACGTCGGTAGCAATCTTCGCGAGTCTGTGGCCGGCCCCGATCTTCCTGAGCCATTCCCTATAAGGGTTACGGCCGTTATGTCACTACACTGCTGATGGACAAAATCCTGCATGACCCTAAGGACTCTAAACTATGGGAACTATGGTATATTCCTTATAATGGGTAATGCAGGATTTTGTCCATCAACAGTATGAGCTGCTCGTAAAAGGGGTTATTACTATCCGGAGCATGGGTTCAACGTAAAGCCACTACTATTCCTTAGAGCTCGTTGTGCTAGTTATAACCTCATATGCCCTGTGACCTTATGTAGTCTGCTCATTCACCTCCCGTACATGACCAGTTGAGTTGTTGTGAAGTTTTCGAGTATTATTATAGTGGGGGGAAGCTTGGCACATACTGTGCTAATCAGCGAGATCAAACAACCTCCCATCATACAAATGCGAGTCAGCCGGAAGTCGTGGTCAAACTCACGTGTCTGCTGTGAGTCCAACACCTGCAGAAGGAACTGGCCCTTTCCTGTGAGTCACAGAATAATGCGAATCCTAAACCCTAAAGGAACCCTTAAAAGGAATCCTAAACTCTGAACCTTCGAAAGGGAACCTAAACCCAGACCCGTTGAAAGGATCCCTAAACCCTTGAAAAGGAACCGAACTCCAATCCTACTTATAGTCTCCATTGTAGTTCTATTTGTCGGTTAACCCGGATCTCCATGCTAGGGTCCGAAAATTAGAACTGGTAAACCACAAAAAACACCCAGAGGGTCCACATATAGTATCATTATGGAATGAGGTCCCGAAAGACCATCCCTAATATGGTTTTGGGGGGACCAACTCCATAATGGTAGTATATGCGGACCCTCTGGGAAAGGAACTACAATGGAGACTCTAGGTAAACGTTATAAGTACCTTAAAGGGGACCCTAATTGGGGTTACAATACTTATAAGTCCCTAAAATAAGTACTTACTAAGTCCCCCGACCCTCCAAGTAAAATTAGAACTGGTCAACCACAAAAAGAAGCTAGAATGGAGACTCTAGATAAACCCTGAACTCCAAGCCCTCGGAACTCCAGTGCAGGTACGGATGGTGAGGTCGTGAAGCTCCTGCGGGCATTGAGGCTTGTGCGCACGGCACGGCTGTCACCCGGCTGAAGTCTTAGCCGGCGCTGCTGTTGTATTTTTGGCTGTGAACATGACGGCCACCATACAACCCACGATAGCTGGTCATGATGGATTACATCCGAGCACGAAACTCTTGTTGTTTTAGGTGTGACGGCTTGGGGCTAATTAATTTGGATGTTTTTCGGGACCTCTTGTAGATACTTGTAGATTCTTGGTTACCATGACCCCTGAATCACCGACGCTGCATGGATGCGTGACAAGTTTCTAAAACTCAAACAGCTCCAAAGGCCGTCGAATGAAGCAGGAATGCCGCAACAGGGAGAAAGTGGCCAAATACGAACCTGGAGAGCACTGCAGAGTTAATTGCGGAATGAATATAATTACATTATTAACTCATGCTAGCGATCCTATTAGAATTTAGGGTATATTCCTTAATCTGGGTAGCCAGGTAGAACGTAGGGTCTGTATCTAGGAATTGCATTTATGATTAAGTATCCACCCTAACAATACCTCATACTCTCTGGCGAGGATACGCCTGATCAAGTTGAAGTGGATCCTCGCCGAGACCTCGGATGGTTTCGGGTCATTGAGTTTGAGGGTTCAGGGGTTTACGGCTTAAAGGGAACTCCAGAAAGTTGGAATATGGATTAATGGTAGGATCCCCTATAATTTACCTTAAAGGGGTTACGATAATGATATTCCAACTTTCTGGCTTTTACCTTAAGGTTGAGGGTTTTGGGGGTTGAGGGTTTAGTGGGTCAGGGGTTTTGTGGGGTTAGGGGTTTAGGGTTGAGGGTTGGGAGTTTATGGATCTTTCAGCCCGAACAGAGCCGTGGCTACAAGTATCAGAAGCCAACAGAGCACGTGAAATCTTCAGGGTGAAGGGCCCTTGTGAACAGGGATTTCGGAGAAAAAACATATGGTAGATTTAGAAGATAGCATAAACAAGTTATTTGGTTCTGATATTCTAAGCTGTACCACAATATACCCTAGTATACTATGTCATAACTACCATTGTAATGCACTGCCTGTGATATACAGTAGAAGCCCAAAAGTTGAAAAACCAATTGCCTCAATCCTTAAGGGTAATGTATAGGGAATCCCAGCACTATTTGGCCTTAATCCGGTTTCCCACTTTATGGGGTTTACTGTACTTGGAGGGTCGGGGGACTTAGTAAGTTGGTAGTAAGTAGACTTGTAAGTACCCTAATAGGGGCCCTGAATAGGGGTTACGGTACTTATAAGTTATAAGTTTCTAAAGTAACTATTTACTAAGTCCCCCGACCCTGCAAGAAGGGTACTTGGGACGGTTGCTGGTCGAAGCTTGGGATTTAGGGCCCAGAGGTTCCCAGAGACTCCAATAGCCCTTAACTAATGGATATACCTTCCGGTGTCTTAAGGGGTCCCTTAAAGGGATTTATAAGGGCTCGATGGGGGAATCTAGGAATATACCTTAACTTTTCGTAGGATCCCTGATATGATTCAAGGAATAATCCCTAATTCATGGATATCCCCTAATTTATATAGTAGGATCCCTAATGTGATTTAAGGAACCTTCCTTTCATCGAGGGATATTGGAGTCTCTGGGGGAAGGACCGGGGCCACAGCCTCGCAGACTAGGTTTCGGGTTTGGGGCCTAGGGGGTTTCGGGATTTAGGAGAAGGGTTCTTTCAGGTTTAAGGGCTCATTAAGCAGATCTATAGGGATTTTGTGGGATTTAGGCGCTGGGGCCCGGGGGTTCAGGGATTCGGATTCGGGGTTTAGGGAGTTTAGGGTTTCGGGTTATGGATGGGGGTTCAGATTTTTTTGGGATTAGGGTTTGATTCGAAAACATTGGGATTACTATAGAGGCCTTGATAATTACGTCTACTATTTTTGGGGTTTCTTTCTATAATTCTGGTATAGTGGCCCTCAAAGCCCTCTTCTAATTATTAAGGCCACGACACTGGTACCCTACTGTAGATCCCTGAGAGTAGCCCTTTTCGACCCGTTTTCAAGGAACCCCTTAAAGGGAACCCTATTCTGAGTATTAAGGCCGCTATCCAAGAGGGTCCATATATACTACCATTATGGAACTATAAGCCCCCCCCAAACCAATGTAGGAATGGTATTTTGGAACCTAATTCCATAATAGTAGTGCATATGGACCATCCGGGTATACTACCCAGGGGGTCCAAGTACCCAAATAGTAGGGTTTTAAGTCCCAAAATCCATACTTTGAATGGTTTTTGGGCTCTAAAGCCCTGTTATTTGGGTACTTGGACCCTTAGGCTTAGGGAGTTTCCGAGAACAGGGGATCCTAATATGGTCTCCTAAATAATAGGATCTTTATTAATTATCAGGACCCCAAAGTAAGGTACCCCTAATTGCAGGAAACTTAAAACCCTAAACTTAAAACCCTGTATAGAACCGTTATAGATCCCTTTAAGGAGCCCTTAAAGGATCCCTTTTAATGTAATCGACCCAAAAGTAGGGTTTTGGGTCGATTTTCAAGCCTGGGCCCCCAGGAGGCCATCGACGATGCTTTCGAGTCAGAGATGGCTGGGATCTGGGCCGCTCCCGGCAATGATTTTTGTTCTAGGGCCTTAGGGGTTTAGGTTTTGGGGTTGAGGGTTTAGGGGTTTAGGGTTTTTGGGGTTTAGGGTTTTGGGGTTAAGGGATTTAGGGTTTTTAGGTTTTAGGGTTTTGGGCTAAGGGGTTTTAGGGTTTAGGGTTTAAGTTTGCAGGCGGGTAACGGGTACGAGTCATCTGGAACTACAGCCACGAGTGTGATACGGTTGATGATATAAGTCCTGCATTACCCATAATAAGGAATATACCATAGTTTCCATAGTTTTGGGTCCTTAAGGTAATGCAGGATTTGTATCATCAACAGTGCGAATGGCTCCACATTGGCCGGCGCAAGAAACCGAGGCATGCATCCCTTGACACAGACGCCGAAATTCTCTACTTGTACCTGAAAATCCTAAACCCTTAAGGGAACCCTAATAAACCCTTGAAGGAGCCGTTAAGAGAACCCTCAAAGGAGCCTGAAACACTCTCGATTTTGAACCCGGGCCAGAAGCATTTAGCCTGAACCCCGAAAGTGGACCAGAGCCCAGGTACCCAGAGACTCCAATATCCCTTAATTAAGGAATATTCCTTAAAAAGATTTAGGGATCCTACTATTAAGGGATGTTGGAGTCTCTTGTCTGCTTATTCATCCCGATCCTCCAAGTACCCCCTGGCCCGCAGCTTTAAAGATGGGCCTTAATCATTACCAATACTTTTGTTTGGGGGTGGGCTCCTTATTATACTTATAGCAGATCGGCCCAAGAACCCTATTCTAATTATTAAGACTCCTATGTTCACTGCTCCTCGAAGGTCTTATCGGCACTGCTACACAGTAGGGTTTCTTTGGGGGAGACTGCATCTTGACTTACATGTGGCAAAGAGCCCCAAGGGTCCAAGTACCCAATAATCATATACTCTCCAAAATCCTAACCTGGGTCCTTTGGACCCTTGGGGGAATGTTTCTTGCTTCATGGTGGTTTGTGTCGCAAAGACATACTGCTGCTACCATACCAGTTCGGGGAGTTCTAGTTGGTCTCGATACACTTAAAACCCTGAACAAGCCCACAAACTCAAGCCCCTGAACCTACCAACCCTAGATGCTAAGGTCCAAAACCCTTGCTTTAGATCCGTTTTCGGAGGGGGCTCCGTTTAGATCCCAAGACCCATAGCAACCTACATTAAACCCTATGAACCCTGTATGCCCTATAAATTTATAAATCCTATAAATCCTAAACATAAACCCTATGAAACACGAAAAGACCTTATTAGCCCTATAAACCCTGTAAGCCCTAAACCCTCAACATGAACGACTGACGCGGCAGATCATGCCTGAAAAGAGCCTCTACAGCAAAGGATCGAAAGGAGCCCTAATAGGATCCTTGAAGGGGCCCTTAGGGTGTAGGGTTTAGGGTTTAGGGTTTGGGGTTTAGGGTTTGGGGTTTAGGGTCTAGGATGTAGTTTAGGGTTTAGTTTAGGTAAATCGTCCCCTCAAATCCTTGAAAGATCCAAATTGTATCTCTCGACGGGGGCTGGGCCGTGCCAGGTCAAGATCTTCAAGATGGTCGCTTGGATGCAGACAGAGTTGACTCTTAGCCGGTCTGAAGCCCGCCTGGACACCAACAAACCCAAAGGGTCCTAGGTACTGTTATGGGGGATACATTCCAAAATCATAATAGCAATTCCTAATATGGAAACCCTACATTCTGCCATATAGGTACTTAGAACCCATCGGGATTCCTTAAGTAAGTCCTTCGAAAAGGGTAGGTTGCTTGGGGTTCAGGTACGCTGAAAACCCAAACAGCAATGCATTCCTTCATCGACCTTTAAAAGAGCCCTTATGGCCCCTCATAGTGGGTATCTGCCCTAAACCCTAAACCCTAAACCCTAAACCCCGGTCTGGGATTCAGGTTTCAGTAGCGAGGGCTTCAGGGTCGACGATCAAAGAACACAGTAGTGGGGGCTGTTCTAAATTATGGTCCCTTTTTGGGTACCCTATATAATAAGGACTATACTACTATAGGGCCCAAAAAGGGACCATAATTTAGAACAGCCCCCAAGTACCCTTGAGTGTTCTATTCGCTGAGGGACCAAGTGGACGCTTCCACCCCGAAACCTCGACAAATGAATCGAAGTATCGTCGCTTGGACACGGGCCAGCCAACCCCTGCAGAAAACAACCCTCGTCCATGAATGGTGCCAGTGATCAACGACGCATCATGAAACTGATTTCACATATCCCCCATTTTTGGGCGCTTAATTAAACCTTATATGCCATCCGATTGCTAAGATGGATAAAAACGCGAAACCCTAAACACACCACCCGCTCCAGGTGCTCTTGCTCCTGGCCATTAACCACCTCATTGCTTGCGTGTGGTTTCTGCTTGCGAGCACAAACCCGGATCGGGGCTCAGAGCCAATCATAGGGCCCCAAAAGACACCCGAAGATCCCCCATATAAGTCCCATT